GTGCGTCCGGTGACCCGGGACGAGTGGCCGCTGCAGTTGCTCCCGGGCGGATCGATTCTGTCCCGTCCCCGGTCGCGGTACACCTGTCGTCCCCTGATTGGTCGCACATGCCGGTTTCGCGAGCTTCGAGGGGGATGGACCCGCCGGCCTGGCTTGCTGCTCTTCGTGAGGAGCCGGGTCCGGCGGAACATTGACACATTCCCTGCAGGTCCTCCAATGGTGCGAGCCACCTCCCCTGTGGGGGGGGGGGGGGGGGGCTGGCATCTTGGACCCGCTCAAAGACTCGTACGCGATCCTCTTGCACACATGCTCCCGCGTTGTCAGTTGTTCGTCGCGCCCGCTGAGTCGCGGCGGTTATTGGTTCATCCTTAGCGCCATTTTGCTCGCGTGCATTGTTACAACGATGAAGGTGGGAGGTGTGATGGTTATGGGGGATCCCGTGTGTTCCGCGTTTTTTATTATTGTTGGTATGGTGTTGTTTCATGATTCCCTTGTACACTCGCTCCCACGTTTTCGGTTGCTTGTCGCGCTCGCTGAGTCACGGCGGTCATTGGTTTAACCTTGCTGCCATTGTGCTCGCGTCCATCGTTACACGATGAAGGTGGGAGGTCTGATGCTCATGGAGGATCCCGTGGTTCACGCTGTTCTTTTATATTGTTGTTAAGATTGTGTGGTTATGGTTTTGTTGGTTTCCACCCTTCTCCCTGTTGGTTTGTACATTTGTATATAGTGTAATTTTTGTACAGGTGGGTTGGGGTATTTATATCTGTTCTTGTTGAGGCACACTTGGTCGTTGCATTTCATTTATTGACCATTGCGGGGGGAGTTTACAGCCGGGACAGCTGGATGCTTTGAAGGGGGGGGGGTGATGTAGTGACATCGGGGATGTCACTGTATGGTGCCGGCCCAGAGGGGTCATGTCGTTCGATGTTCCTACATCGTGGACAGCACCGTGTGGGTGGCTGTGTTTAATACCAGCCCTAGCGGTGCTTGGCGAACACTGGGATAATGCGGGCACCACACACAGCATGTGGTGGGGGCTCCCTCGAGAGGGAGGGGGTGAGTGTCAGCCCAGGGGCAGGGTTGCCCCGAGCCATGGCACTCTGGTTGACCCCGTAGACACGTGATCCAAAATGTCCACACAGGGGGCCCCGGGTGGGGGGACTGGTGGGTGATCACGTGTCCGGAAGGAGCTCTTGAGAAGGTTCAAGAGGGAACGAGAATGTTTAGGAAGGCGGGTGGGGCCGAGGGCGGAGCAGCCCCGACCAGAGAGGGATATAAGGCAGGTCCCTGAGAGGGACCAGGGTCACTGCAATCTACAAGCTGGAAGATAAACATCTACAAGCGGGAAGCTCTACGTCTCAAGCTGAAGCTCTCCATCCTACGAGGCAACCACGTGGTCGGAGACCCGTGTGAGGGATCGACCCTTCGTAGCAGTAACTCATTGTAGTCTGGTAAAGGGGCAGTTACCCCTTTGTGTTACGGTGTTACAAGTAAACGTGTTGCCTCTAAAAGGAACAACGTCTGCGACTCAGTTGGACCCACTACACAATGAATAATAATTCTGACACATTTTCACTTAATGCTCATTATGAGTGGGCAGGTTTACAATGATTGTAAAACAAAATGTTAAGTTTTACGTGTGACCTGGTTGAATTCCGAGCTACCCCTGCTTCATGATTAATTATTGCATATGTTATGGCTATAATTCAACATGTCAGCAAAAATCCTCATGATTTTATTAAACAAATAAAGATAGACAACACATTCTACACACATTCTGTTCAGCAACCTTCCAATGGCTTGCTATGTTACGGCGCTACAGAAGTAATTATTATTTATTCATCCCCATTCTATCTAAGTAAGACATATGTTTTTGTAGAATTTATATGTTTTGAATTATCCATATTTCGTTTCATCCGGGCAACCCCTCCACACCATTACACTGGATAAATTAGTGTACAGTTTTGGAGTGTCATCATCTGGACCTGGAGAACAATGTTTCAAAGCATTATATGTAGACTGAAAAGTCACGCAGGGAGGACTCACCCTGTGTGTGACAGTCCAGGACGCCATCCTCCACACTGCAGATCTCATCGTCCTTACAGACCCCGAGAGCACCCAGATTTTATGGCTTTGCAAAAATCCATAAAGAAGGTTATCCACTCCGTCCTATTGTATCCACCATTAACTCACCCACCGACAAACTGGCCCGAGAACCTGCTTCCATTCATGGGCAAGACCACCTCAGCTGTACTTATCTCAGCTCACTTGGTTGCTCTAATCAAGGACATCTTACCATCTCTAGATGATTTGCTTGTCAGTTTCGATGTAGTCTCTCTGTTCAACAAGGTACCTGAGTCTGACACCATTGCAATCATTGAAGATTTGATCCAACATGGACTGAATCCAGATGTACCAAGTTTGGTAAGGCACTGCCTTACCAATACTTACTTCACCTGGAATGGTACATTCTACAAACAAAATGAAGGTACCCCTATGGGTTCTCCCTTGTCGCCAGTGGTAGCAAATGTTTTCATGGAGAAATTTGAAACAGATACCATCCTGACATCCACCCTACGTCCTTCCTTGTGAAAAAGATACGTAGATGGCACGTTTGTCATCTGGCCACATGGCCAGACAGCACTGGACCAATTTTTTAACCACATCAATTCCATACACCCATCCATCAAATTCACCTTGGAAGTAGAAAACGATGGCAAGCTACCATTCCTGGATATTTTGATCGAGAAAACACTCTGATGGCTCGTTGGGACATTCTGTCTACAGGAAAGCCATCCACACGGATTCCTATCTAAAGCCTGATTCCCACCACCATCCAGCCCAGAAGAACTCCCTCATCAAAACACTACACCATAGGGCACGTTGCATTTCCGACCAGCAACAACTATCCTGTGAAGGATGTGATTCCTGACATGCAATACCCTGGTGCCTACAGACTAAGTTGTGTCTGTGGTAGCAGTTACATCGGGGAAACGAAACGACATGTCTCGGACCGTGTTCGCGAACACAAGGCAGATTTGAAACACGGCAAAACAAATACCTCTGCCGTGGCTGATCACTGTTTTAACGCGGTCGGTTCACACGATATTGTTTTTTCCAAGACCAAGGTAATTTGCAAACCTTCGGGCTACCATCAAAGATTTGTCCGTGAAGCCATCCAGATATATAAACACAGACACAATTTCAACCGAGAAGATGGGTACAAACTGAGCAATCATTAGAAGGATGTTATTAACCAGGTAAGTCATAACTTGCTGTGATGTTTCCATCCTTCCTGCCGTTGTTTAGCAGTTATTTCCGACTCTCTGAATTCTCACTGTCACGGCCACCGTTACGGTGGTTCTCTGGCGTTGATACGCTGGCCTCTCAATGTGCAGCAGCCAACGCCTCAGCTTGTGTTGCCCACGAGGTGGCGCTGTTCAATAGGCTGTATGTCTCTCCTATTAACGCCGCTGTTGTACGTGTGGCGACGGTGCTCGTGTGCGACGGCAAAGCTCATTTTCCCATTGTGCTCGTTTGCATTAGCATGCCAATCCTCCTTTGGCGCGGCTGTTGTGCGTACGCACGGCGACAGGACTCCTTTCCATCTCTGACCCCGCCTACTTGCCCTTGGGTGACACCCACCTCAAACCTGAAATAATCTCTGGTTGCAACAGCCATTTCTTGTTCAGCAGTTCTGCTGCTGTGTCTTTCTGCCTGATGACGAGTGCTTGTGTTGCGATCGAAACGTAGTGATTTATTATTTATTTTTTCTACCTTCGTGACTTTACCGAAAGAACCAAAGAGTAATAAGAGTCCACTTTCAATGCGCTCAAATTTCACGACCGTGCATTCAAAGTTCGAGTGCGACTCAGGAAGCTCGGAGCCTCGCTCGGAGTTCCCCAGAAAGCTCAAGAAGCTCGCCAAAAATGTGTCTTCAGGTGCTTCTTGAAGGTGGAAGGAGACTGGATGCTGCTTCGTATGTGAAGGGGGGTAGAGTTACAGATGGAGGGAACTGCTGCAGAGTGAGCAGTGATGCTGGGTCTGACAGGAGGCCATGCAAAGAGCATGGTGATAGAGGGCCGCAACCTTTTGCTTGAATCGTGCAGATATGGGGGGCGAGCGCTGTGATTTTTAGCAAAGCAGAAAAATCTGTGCCACCACTCTCCATGCCGAGGGCAGGGCACGGCAGATCGTTTCGTAGTATTTGTAATTTGTTGATCCTCTTGACGGATGCCCAAGTGAGTAGAGGGCATTGCAGCAATTGTGATGGGAACCTATGATACAGCAGGCGAGGGTGTTTTCTGCGCCAATTGAGGGCATGGGGCGGATGTGCCGAAGAGCTGTGTGTCGTGCACAGTATGTAGTTGTAGAAAACTGCCGAGGCCACTTTAAAGCAATGCCATTTGGAGTGCACATCATAAGAACCTTTTGTCAATCATGAGCCTGCAGTGCCATGGTAGAACTAATACCACTGTATGAGCAAACACATCTCCAATACAGGACATACGCATGCTCATACACGGAGAAATTGGCAGTTCTAATCGTATGAGTAGCCTCTGAAAAAAATTCTATTTAACTTCACACACAACCACTCAGGATATGGCTGTAATCGGAATAATGAAGGGTTTTCGGAGTAAAGTGACATCTTTTGCATCGTGATTAATCTATGTATGTTGAACTTTCCACCGTATGTAGCCAACCGTGCTAATCGGAGGTGCGGGGGAAATGCAGGTGAAACATTATCTCTCGCGTTCATCGATGACCGAAAGAGTGCAGAAACAAATACAAGGCACACATTTAAATAGGAAAATGTTTTTTATACATTACCAACAGTGATGTATCAAAAGATGAGGCATCACAAATACAGCTACAAATATGTATCTAGAGACACGCAACCAATGTGTCCTGTGTTGTAATCCTGGAATTCAAACTAGAATGCACATGTCAATTAGGCCGGTTTTATATGAATACTTCCACTACGACAACATATTTACCTGTAGGCTCACAGACTGAGACGCAGACGCTGTCCACAGCAATATCGCTCTCAGGTGTCTCCCCACGCACTCCTTCGATGGCAAACTGCACAAAAATACAAAGCAATGTCACGTATTATTAGTGCACGTCTGACTTGAGCATTTAATGATCGTGTTGTTTGTTGGAGTGGAAACCACTCGTATATATGTGTAGTGGTGATACGCGCTGACAGTGGGGATCGTGGGGCAGCGCGTGGTGATTGGCTGTGTGCCGGTGACGCGCGCTGACGGTGAGGGATCACAGGGCAGCGCGGGGTCATGGGTTATGTGGTGGTGATTGGCTGTGTGTTGGTGACGCGCGCTGACAGGGAGTGATCGTGTGGCAGCGCGGGGCGATTGGTTGTGTAGTGGTAACACGCGCTGGGAAAACGGATCGTAGGAACAGCGCGCCGTGATTGGTCGACTAGTGGGTGCTCACACCGCGGTCCGCAAGATGGCTATATAAGGCGGTGCGCGCGGGCGCTCGGGGAGTTGGTGACCAGCGAAGACTGAAGACGGCGCAGGAAGAGATAGGGCCCTGCGGCACCTAGTCCCGCTGTCCTTGCAAGGACCGGGGCTCTGTGTGACCCAGAGGCGGGACCCTGGGACCCGGGGCCGAACGTCCGTGTGAGGGCCGGCTCGTGGGACCCAGAGGTTGTGACCCACGCCCAAGCTTGGGGTGGGTCTGTAGGCTCCATGGACGTTACGGGGCTGGAGTGCAGTGTGAGCATGCAGCGTGAGCTATAGTAACTACACGTGTCAGTGGAGTGTGTAGCGGGAGAAGTAGTGACCACACGTGTCAGTGGAGTGTGTAGTGTGAGAATAGAGACCACACGTTGTATCGTAACAAGTCAAGATTTAATAAAAGAGTGTGCTACCCGTCAAGTGGTTTCCTGCCGTCATTCCGAATACTTCAACTGGCGTCAGAAGTGAAACAGTCTTCCAGGCATGGATACAAGGAAGACCCGTCGGACTCACGGGAATGACCGCGAGGATAACCTTGACGACTCGGGCCAGCTGGCATCGGGGGGAGAGGACGAGGAAATGCCGATGCCGCAGGACCCGCCAAGGGCGCCGGACGAACGACTGGGGACCGAGGCCGTACTCCGCGAGGCGCACTCCCATCTGGCAGAGCTGCTGTTCGCCGCCGCGTCCATCCTGGCAGAAATCAAGACAGCGGGAGGAGCGGGGACGTCGACGGACATTCATCAAGCGGGGCCCGCAGATTCCCGCCAAAATGACTTGGCGATTCCCGCCATTTCAACTGCGCGGCCATCTTTTGGCGGGAACGGCGAGCAACACGTGGCGGCGGTTCTCCACGCGCGCCCGCTCACGTCATCAACGCGCGCCGCGGACCGCCATCAGCCGCCCGCCATTGGGGCCGCCATCTTGCAGACCGACGGTGCGGCCGAGAGGAACCACGTGGCAGAGGACGACTTCATTTCCCAGCAGCGCCTTCCCACATTGTCAGCCTTCAAGGCGGAGGGCGGGGACTGGAGCGCATTCCAGCGCAGGTTTCTGGCGCATCAGGAGATGTCGGCCTGGTCCGACGCTACGGCGCTGCGGGCACTGCCTGCCATGTTGGACGACGACGCGCTCGCGGCCTTCAGGTCCGCACAGAGGTCGGACCGCTCCACGCTCAAGGCGGCGCTGGGTCTCATGGCCAAGGTCTACGGACCTCCCTCGGCGTGTCGCCATCACTTTTACGCCCGACGGAAGGCAGACACGGAGACCGCCCTCGCCTACCGCACGGCGTTGTTGGCTCTCGCCGACGCCGCGTTCCCTCGTATGGACGAGGAGGGCCAGGACGCGATGGTCTTGGAGCAGCTGCTCAAATTGGCGCAGGACCTGGGGGTCCCCATCAACACGGCCGACGAGGTCGATATTTCTTCGTTGCGGGTCGCAACAAGTATACAGGCGTACGAGGTCCTCCAGCGTAAACAGGGGGCCGTCTGCACTGCTGCCGTGGCCTCAGCTCCGGGCCCGGTCGTCACCGAGCCCCAAGTCATCAGCCCACGGGAGGAGGCGTTCACCGCTGGACGACCGGAGGACTGGAGGTCGGGGGGTCGTTCGCCTCTGCGATCGGCCCGCAAGCCGGAGCAACCGAGACCTCCGACGTCCCTCATCACGTGTTACAACTGCGGCCTCCGGGGCCACGTGGCGTCCGGTTGCCGCGCTCCTCGTCAGCGCGCCATGGGACCTCGGCTGGACGACGACCAAGGCCCCAAGTCATCCCTACTACCCCCGGCAAGTCGCGGCACTTCACATGCTCGGCCTACATGCACGACACACATGGGCCGTCGCGTTGCGGCGGAGGAAGGCCGGTTAGGGATCGGGGATTCGGTTCGGCGAGGGGGGTTCGTGCGGGACCGAGGGGACATTGAATGGTCTGAGTTGGGGCACAGGATGGTGGCTGCGTCGGCGGGTTCGTCGGTCGTTACGGGATTCATTGACGGGGTCGAGGTCAGGGTGTTGGTGGACACGGGGGCGTCGGCGACTATTATATCAGACCTCATTTACAACATTCTCCCCGTCCAATGTAGACCTCTGCTCCTGGTCGACGTGCCATTTTACGCGGCAAATGGGGGCTCGTTGGGCATTGTCGGCCAAATTAGGGCGTCCATTTGCATTGGAGATATTAAATTGTCGGGACCCGTTTTCGTTTCTTCTTCCTTAGCGGTCCCTTGTCTGTTGGGCACAGATTTCTTGGCTAAAATGCCCATTAAAATTCTCATCGATCAGCGTTGCATTGAGTTACCATCGGGTCGCCGTATTTCATTTTTGACGAATCCTACCGAAATTCGGACGGCGTGCGCTACGATACAAGCGCTGGCGACGCAGACCGTGCACGTGCCCCCGGGTTCACAGATGTTAATTCCCCTCCGGTTGAGAAAACCATTGGTTGGAGAGACCTCGGAACGAGGCATGCTTTTGGGTCCTTCTAATAGGGCTGTGGGGGGTCTCGATTTGTCGGTGGCTCACACTTTGGTTCGGGCTGACAAGGACCCGTTCGTGATGGTTTTAAACGCTGGTTCGCGGCCGGCTGTTATTAAGCAGGGCACTGTACTAGCTCACGTGGCACGGGTCCCTGCGGAGGAGCGCCTAGTTGCACAGGTTGACCCAAGCCCGACGCAGAACAATCCATCGAGGGAGGACCTTGAATGGGTCGATTCGCTGTGCGCGGACTCGACCGATTTGTCAGCGGTACAGTTGGGTGCGCTGCGTACGTTACTGATTGAATTTTCGGACGTCTTCAGTAAGCATAAATATGACATTGGGTGCATGGACCTGTTGCACCACCACATTGAAACAGGCGATGCGGCACCGGTCAGGCTAAATCCCTTCCGGCTGAGTCCTGTTGAAAAGGAACACGTTCAGTCGGCCGTTAACGATATGCTGGCGGCCGACATTATTTCGCCTTCTTCCAGTCCATGGGGAGCACCTATTGTGCTGGTTAAAAAGCAAGACGGGTCCTTGCGATTTTGCGTAGATTTCCGTCGCCTGAATAAGATATCCGTGGCTGACGCGTATCCGCTCCCCAGGATGGACGAGTCCCTCGATGCATTATCTGGCGCGCGATATTTTTCGACTCTGGATTTGTTGTCGGGATTCTGGCAGCTGCCACTCGACAACGAGTCTAGACCCAAGACGGCATTTCGGACTCCAGGGGGCCTGTTCCAGTTTAACCGGTTACCCATGGGTCTTCACTCCGCTCCCGCGACGTTTCAGCGCCTTATGGAGTTGGTTTTGTCGGGCTTGCAATGGGATACTTGCTTGATTTACCTAGACGATGTCATTGTTTTCAGTAAAACGTTCGAGGAACACCTCCAGCGATTGAGAGGGGTGTTCTTGCGGATGCGATCGGCTAAATTAAAGTTTAAACCGGCCAAATGCCACCTTCTTCGTAAGTCCGTGAGGTACTTGGGCCACATTGTCGATTCTTCGGGGATCTCTACCGATCCCGCGAAGACGAACTGTGTCAGTTCATGGCCAACGCCCACGTCGGTTTCGGACGTGCGTAGTTTCATCGGTTTTGCTTCTTATTACCGCCGATTCGTTGAGCATTTCGCCACCATTGCAAAACCCTTGCACGCTCTAACGGCAAAAGGAGTCAAGTTCCGATGGGGACCGGAGGAGGAGGCCGCATTCTGCTCCCTCCGGGACGCCTTGGTGGGTGCCCCGCCCTTGCGTTACCCTGATTTTACAAGTCCCTTCTTGCTAGACACGGATGCTAGCAACACGGGCATTGGGGGGGTACTCTCACAGGTCGTCGGGGGAGTCGAAAGGGTGGTTGCCTATGGTAGCAGGGTTTTGTCGCCGGCGGAGCAGCGCTACTGCGTCACCCATCGCGAGTTGCTGGCTATTGTTTTTTTTGTACAACAATTTAGACCATACCTCTATGGCCGTCACTTTACGGTCCGGACGGACCACGCGGCACTTCAGTATTCATTGCGGGTTGCCCAACCCTCGGGCCAATTGTCACGGTGGTTGGAAGTCCTCCAGGACTATCAGTTCACGACCACATACCGAAAGGGGTTCCGCCACACTAACGCCGATGCCCTGTCGCGATTGTCGCCTTGTCACAAATGTGTGTGCTTAATGGGATTGGCACGCTGTAAACCGCCAGCTGCGGAAAGTATGGGGGCGTTCGCCGCGACCGCGGATGCACCGATTGGCGATGTTCCCGCTGCCCCTGAAGGAGAGGACTCGCTGCTCTCATTGTCGCTGATTGAGTGGGGCCGTCTCCAAATGGCTGACAGCTCCCTGTTCGCGCTGCGCCGCAGGGTGGGGGGTCCCGAGGATGGCCGGGAACGGACTGGCTCCTGGGTGCTCAAGCAGGGCCTGTTAATGAGATGGGACAATTTGTCCCGGCGGCACGCACTCGTGGTGCCTTCCGCTGTGCGAGGGAAAGTTGTCCTGGCCGCACATGAATGCCTCTTGCATTTAGGGGTCAACAAAACGCTTGCTCTGCTTCAGCGTGACTATTATTGGCCGGGGATGGGGAGTGATGTGGTGAACATTCTAAAGGGGTGCGTTGATTGCGCCAGACGAAAACCGCCGGCCGTGGCGTCGAATACACCGCTGCAATCTATTCAGGTTTCGCGCACTAACGAGCTCGTTGCGCTCGATATTTTGGGGCCTTTTCCAGTCACGCCGAGGGGAAATAAGTACCTGTTGGTTGGTGTCGAGTACTTTACCCGGTGGCCTATGGCGTGGCCACTCCCCAACCAGTCGGCGGCGGCTGTGACGGACGCCTTTGTCCAGGGCTACGTCCTGGACAAGGGGGCTCCCGAACGCTTGCTAACCGACCAAGGGAAAATTTTTTCTAGTAAATTGCTGCAAGAGGTGTGCGACCTATTGGGTACTAAGAAGGTGCGTACCTCCCCGTACCACCCACAGACAGACGGGATGGTGGAGCGACTCCACAGGACTTTGACTTCTATGCTGTGCCAGCAGGTGTGCGAGGCACATGTTGACTGGGACCTGCAGGTCCCGGGGATCCTCGCCGCGTATAAATGGCCCCCCATGCAGCAACGGGATTTTCCCCATTCTATCTGATGTATGGTCGGGAAGCCGACCCGCCTATGGAAACGCAGCTGGGACTGTCCGCGCCACGAACGAGTTCGAAATTGGCTGAACATATTAAATTTAACATTCATAAGCTGACCGAGGCACGGGAGGCCGCACGGCTTAATTCGCGGGCTCGTCAAATTGCCAACGAGCGGTTGCGTGCACGGAAGGTGTCCGTGCACAACTGAAAACCAGGCGATAGGGCCTGGCTGCACTGCCCTCAGGCACCTTTGGCTACGTCGCCTAAATTATTGAAGCCATGGCGGGGACCCGTTGAGGTTGTGCGGGTTGCACGCCCCCAATGTGTTCAGATAAAATGGGGAAAGCGCCGTTGCTACGTCCACCCCTCCCGACTGAAACCGTTCTCGCCTCCATATGGCCTCCCTTTGTGTCGTGAGGGCCGAGCATGTGACGTGACCGACGACAAAAGGGGGGAAATGTCTCCGCCTGATCCTCACATGTCTCCGCCTGATCCGCTCCCAGGTGTCTCGGAACTGACAGCTGCCGACCACCGGCGGCCAGATCCCCGCGGCGCGGCCGGTCCTTCCAGGCCCGATACGCGCCTTCCGGGGCTGCCGGAGCCACCAGACGGTCGTCAGCGTCCCGTCCCATACGATGGACCGGCCAGGCGGACTCACGCTCAGTCGCGCAACTTTTCTTGACCAACCGAATGAGGGGTCGATGCGGCCGGAGCGCCTCGTCACTGCGTTCCTCTTCCGCTCGACCGCTCCATCATCCCGGTGGAGGAGCGAGCGGAGCGGGGGGGGGGGGGGATCGATAGTCACAGAGACACTGGACACGTTCTTTTTCTCGGACTTGCTTTTATTGTGTTGTTCGTCGGTTTGTACATAACTTGTTGTCTAGGTGTTGTGTGTTGTTGTTGGTTTTTTTTATTGTGTTGTTGTCGGTTTGTACATAGGTTGTTGTTTGGTGTTATGTCATTGTGTTGTTGTTGTTGTGTTACGGGGCACACTGGGGGGTTGGGTTTTTGTTGTGTTACTATTGTTGTTGTTGTGTTGTTTAGCAGCCGGGCCGGCTGCGAGCTATGTGGGAGGGGGTGATGTAGTGGTGATACGTGCTGACAGTGGGGATCGTGGGGCAGCGCATGGTGATTGGCTGTGTGCCGGTGACGCGCGCTGACGGTGAGGGATCACAGGGCAGCGCGGGGTCATGGGTTATGTGGTGGTGATTGGCTGTGTGTTGGTGACGCGCGCTGACAGGGAGTGATCGTGTGGCAGCGCGGGGCGATTGGTTGTGTAGTGGTAACACGCGCTGGGAAAACGGATCGTAGGAACAGCGCGCCGTGATTGGTCGACTAGTGGGTGCTCACATCGCGGTCCGCAAAAGGGCTATATAAGGTGGTGCGCGCGGTCGCTCGGGGAGTTGGTGACCAGCGAAGACTGAAGACGGCGGAGGAAGAGATAGGGCCCTGCGGCACCTAGTCCCGCTGTCCTTGCAAGGACCGGGGCTCTGTGTGACCCAGAGGCGGGACCCTGGGACCCGGGGCCGAACGTCCGTGTGAGGGCCGGCTCGCGGGACCCAGAGGTTGTGACCCACGCCCAAGCTTGGGGTGGGTCTGTAGGCTCCATGGACGTTACGGGGCTGGAGTGCAGTGTGAGCATGCAGCGTGAGCTATAGTAACTACACGTGTCAGTGGAGTGTAGCGGGAGAAGTAGTGACCACACGTGTCAGTGGAGTGTGTAGTGTGAGAATAGAGACCACACGTATCGTAACAAGTCAAGATTTAATAAAAGAGTGTGCTACCCGTCAAGTGGTTTCCTGCCGTCATTCCGAATACTTCATATGTGACGCTTTGGTAGGAACATCAAGGGACTAATGCCGGGCGATTTGTGCCTGGTCCCAATCGCGATGCGGCTCTTTGATGGAATACGATGCCCAATGGGATTATCAATTGAATTGCGAATTTATGGTATTTTCTAGGCATCTAACAATTGCCCATAGTAACTATACAAATATTTACAATTTATCGTCGCGCTTTGATTACAATAATGAATGACTCTCTATATATACATTAGCATATAGGTTATATAAATAAACAGTTGATTCTCACATGCATGGTTTAATGTGTGCATCGTTGCGTTAATAATATTTTCTGTGGGGAATATCCAGAGCATGGAATCTGGTGGCGATTCTCTGAACAACTGCTAGGCTGTCAAAGAATCCCCATTCAACTCCATGGCGATGGTCCTGTCTCCATTCGAATAGCCCAAGAATCACCCCTTTATTTAAAGTAGACGCAGGAATCAGCAATTTAATTAATGGAGATTCTCTAACTGTGCAGCCCAGGAATTGTCCATAGAATTCCAATTTATATGATTGGAACTCGCAGGAGCACAAATGCATATTTAATGCATGAGCGAAGGTAATATAATTTTTTTTTATATATGAAGTGGGTTAATACCCATGGACTAAGAAAATCTAAGTTGCATCATGATTTGTTTAATCAACTGATATGGTTGAAAATACATCGGTATGACACGAGATCTCTTGAAATGCACACAACTCATTAATAACGCAACGTTATTTTCAAAAGTGTTCAGTTTCATGAAATTTCAACATAAATAACAAAACGTGTGTGCATCATTTGTATGCATGCATGTTGAACTACGTAGCCAACCGTGCTAATCGGAGGTGCAGGGGAAGGACAATAAACTAAACACAAAACATAAAAAACATTTACATGGTTTCTGAATGTTTAAACACTTTAAATTAATTTCACAATTTTTTAATGACGTTTGATTTCATTCAGCTGCATTCAACCCAAAGTGTTCAACACCAGCCCAAGCTTGATTTGAATAATGGGTGGTGCAGTGTTCAAATAAATAGCCGTGCACACAGTGGGGAATCGTAAACAATTAAAAGTGCATTCTAATTGAGTCGTAATCTTTACACCTTACCAATTGGTATTACAAATCTGCATCTCACCAAATACAACTGCATATCTTTCAAATCTAACCCACACACATATATCATCGGGAGTGATCCAAATACAGTAGACACATATACAGAACTACACTGCATGTAAGGGATTCTCTTACTTGAACATTTCCGGACTCAGGGAACATGACTTGAGCTAAAATCCACTGTTCTCCCTGGTTTCCCTGAACAGTCCACACGGGTTGTCCATTGACAGCTGCGGTCAGTGTGGGTGATACAGAAGGTTTGTTACACGGCTGGAAGCGGAGCATATGGGTGTGCCACTGACACACAAATACACAAAGTTACATGGAGATAAAACCAGTCACCATTAAAACCATCATCCCCATTAAAACCACCATCTCCACTAAAAACATCATCCCAATTAAAACCATCATCCCTATTAAAACCATCATCCCCATTAAAGCCATCATTCCCATTCAAACCATCATCCCCATTAAAACTATAGTCCCCATTAAAACCATCATCATTAAACCATCATCCCCATTAAAGCCATCATCCGCATTAAAACCATCATCCCCATTAAACCATCATCCCCATTAAAACCATCCCCTTTAAAACCATCATCTGCATTAAAACCATCATCCCCATTCAAACCATCATCCCCATTAAAGCCATAATTCTCATTAAAACCATCATCCCCATTAAAACTATAGTCCCCATTAAACCATTTTCATTAATATCATGGGACCTCCTTTGCCAGTACTAAAATATGAGAATAGGTTTTCTCTTTTTATCTGGCAACAAAACAAGTGTTAAGTTTTCTTGGTTCTTTTGGTAAAGTCATGTAGAAGGGAAATAATAAAAATAAAACATAATAAAATACAATTCTCACGACGTTTCGGCCACAACGCAAGCAGCCGTCCTTAGGTGAAGAACAGGTCTGTCGGAAATACAGCGTCTGAATGAACACCACCAAGCTTGGCAGCGTATATTTAAGCTGGGTTAGAGGAGGAAGGGCGCTTTTACAAAGGAATTTGCATATCAACAGAGGAATTTAGCATATTTATGGAAAATGCAGATATGGGATTGCGTAGGAGGTAGGGGGGGGGTCTCAAAGTCATATTTTGCATTATGTAGGATTAGCAGCAACAAAGGGAGGAAGTAGTATTCGCAGTAATAAAGAGAAGGAATTTTAATAGTAAGAAGCTGTAGCAGCCAAACCACCACGTAAAAAACTAAAATATAAACGACATCAATATCATCAATATACTAAATATACTCTCCAATAAACTTAGCTACTAACAATAAGTCATACATTACAATTCTATGTCGCAAAAAATATAATATGCCTCCAGCTAAACTTTTTCCTTACATCACACGGATCTACCCCGTACTACAGTGCGGGAAAAAGTATTTGATCCCCTGCTGATTTTGTACGTTTGCCCACGTACGTGGATGAATACCCATCCACGACCCATTTTCAATGCCCTGGCTGAGGGAAGGAGGTTCTCACCCAAGATTTGACAGTACATCGCCCCGTCCATCGTCCCTTTGATGCGGTGAAGTTGTCCTGTCCCCTTAGCAGAAAAACACCCCCAAAGCATAATGTTTCCATGTTTGACGGTGGGGATGGTGTTCTTGGGGTCATAGGCAGCATTCCTCCTCCTCCAAACACGGCGAGTTGAGTTGATGCCAAAGAGCTCCATTTGGTCTCATCTGACCACAACACTTTCACCCAGTTGTCCTCTGAATCATTCAGATGTTCATTTGGAAACTTCAGACGGTAATGTATATGTGCTTTCTTGAGCAGGGGGACCTTGCGGGCGCTGCAGGATTTCAGTCCTTCACGGCGTAGTGTGTTACCAACTATTTTCTTGGTGACTATGGTCCCAGCTGCCTTGAGATCATTGACAAGATCCTCCCTTGTAGTTCTGGGCTGATTCCTCACCGTTCTCATGATCATTGCAACTCCACGAGGTGAGATCTTGCATGGAGCCCCAGGCCGAGGGAGATTGACAGTTATTTTGTGTTTCTTCCATTTGCGAATAATCGCACCAACTGTTGTCACCTTCTCACCAAGCTGCTTGGCGATGGTCTTGTAGCCCATTCTAGCCTTAAGTAGGTCTACAATCTTGTCCCTGACATCCTTGGAGAGCTCTTTGGTCTTGGCCATGGTAGAGAGTTTGGAATCTGATTGATTGATTGATTAATTTCTTCTGTTAACAGGTGTCTTTTATACAGGTAACAAGCTGAGATTAGGAGCACTCCCTTTAAGAGTGTGCTCCTAATCTCAGCTCATTACCTGTATAAAATACACCTGGGAGCCAGAAATCTTTCTGATTGAGAGGGTGTCAAATACTTATTTCCCTCATTAAAATGCAAATCAATTTATAACATTTTTGACATGCGTTTTTCTGGATTTTTTTGCTGTTATTCTGTCTCTCACTGTTCAAATAAACCTACCATTACAATTATAGACTGATAATTTCTTTGTCAGTGGGCAAACGTACAAAATCAGCAGGGGATCAAATACTTTTTTCCCTCACTGTACACTGAAGTGTTCAAGACAGTGATGTGATATCGTCTGTGCATACACATGTACTTGCAGTAGTGCGTACAGCGACATTTAATATTTGCGATACGAATGATAATTTTATCTAAAGACTTATACGTGATCTTAGTTACTACCGTTTCATCTGGACACAACGCCTACTAAATCTTGGCTTTAAAGCAACCCTTAGTTGGCAATATGGCCTTTCATCCAAATTGAAATGAAAACAAAGTGCATATCTTCAATTACATCGTGACAGGTTAACTACTGGCAAAGCCTGACAACTGTAATGGAGATAAAAGCCTCTGTACCTTTGTTGATGTAAACGTTGATGGCCATGTTCTCTGCTGACCCATACAGGAAGTAGTGGAAGCTCAGGACGAGGCACCCAGAGGAGGGGATAGCCAGACTCTCTAGCAGCAGCGCCGTTCCAGGTTTGTTGTACTCAGAGTCCAGCAGCAGGTAATTCCCAACTACACACAGCAGAGTTAACACAGTGATCCACACACACACTGCTGTATTCACTAACACAGTGATCCACACACACTCTGCTGTATTCACTCACACAGTGATCCACACACACACTGCTGCTGTATTCACTAACACAGTGGTCCACACACACACTGGTGTATTCACTAACACAGTGGTCCACACACACACTGGTGTATTCACTAACACAGTGATTCACACATACTGCTGTATTCACTCACACAGTGATCCACACACACACTGCGGTATTCACTCACACAGTGATCCACACACACTCTGCTGTATTCACTAACACAGTGATCCACACACACACTGCTGTATTCACTCACACAGTGATCCACACACACACTGCTGTATTCACTAACACAGTGATCCACACACACTGCTGTATTCACTAACATAGTAATCCACACACACTGCTGTATTCACTAACACAGTGATCCACACACACATTCTGCTGTATTCACTAACACAGTGATCGATACACATTATACTGAATGTGGGTTTCAATGCCAGGAGCTCGAGTGGAGGCTGTGAGTGATGCGAGGCTGTAAGATACTCACAGCCAGGGCGTGAAAAGTCATCGTCAGGACCAGTGTTCTCAGTTACTGTGGGACCAGTCCAATGCTCCCAGCCCACGTCCCCTCCGCTGTTCTGCCAGCCACAGAAGTCTCCCATTTCATCAAAATCACATCCGCTCACACACTCTGTGGGGTGAAAACATGAATTAATACGTGGGTAAATTACTTCACATTTAAATTACACACAAGAAACAAGCAAACTATATTTTCTGCATTCCATGGTGAGTCGTAAGTTGCTAACTTATCAATGCATGGCTATAGTGCAGAATATCGATGCCACTGGAATTTAAAATCATTCAGTCACAGCTCTGTTGGGCCAGAAAATTGTTGTAGTGCCGATTCTAGGGTGCGATTCATGAACTGAGCAGAGTTTCCAGCAGCGCACAGTTCTTCATTCAGTGCAATGTAGTATGAATCTTCGCCTGCTCAGTGTTCGCTAACCAATCACAGTTTAGAGAGGAGCAAGAGGAATCCGCCACAGCATCGTGACATCCGATGGGACAATCTCCACTCAGCCACCAAATCGGGATCCAACACGCACTGCGTTATTAATCCCGCTACTCGAGCTCGAGTCTCGTTCACGACAAACATCAGTGACGAATATCTGAACCAGTTGGAGCTTTTCTAAATCCACTGCTGGATCAGGGCCTTCCCACACCGCTTGGGTTGTGAGAGATTTTTTTTTACCATACTTCGCCACCCAGGTCAGCGTGGATTGAAGGTTGCCATAGGGCCCGATAGCCCTAATGCAACCTGTCTGTGCATGGGAGTCACCCATCCAAGTGATATCCAGGCTCAAGCCTGCTTAGCAGCCGAAATTTGATGAGCTCGGGAGCTTTCTAGCAGAGACTAGTTGTTCCATAGGACAATCACTGGTGACTTCCCACCTAGTAGGGGTGCTCCGGTCGGTACTCCAGAGGGATGATGGAGATGGCGTGCTGTACTCTCTGATTGAAATTTTAACAAACGATCTCACAATGACACCCTCAACTGAGCCGAAAATCTGTTTCACGGTGAGAATGTTTCATAATTAATAAGTGTAAAATTGTAATGCGAGCAAGGACAGGGTGGGCGCGGCCTCTGCGCCACTCACGCGGGCCGGAGTATTAGGGGAGGTGGAGCCTGGTCGCCGGGGTGAGTGGTGGCGGAGTCAGGGTCACGTGAGGAGGAGGATATAGGGTGAGAACCGGAAGGGGATCGGGAGTGGAGAGAGAGTAGAGATAGAAGGAGCCACGCAGGGTGCTGGCGGAGGGGTGGCACGAATTGCCACGTGGTCGGAGTCACGGCACCGTCGGCCAGTGGTGTACGTGGAGCAGCGGAGTGGCTGCAGAGTGTGCGGGAGCACACGGAGGAGCAGAGTGGCTGCAGAGTGTGCGGGAGCACACGGAGCAGCAGGGTGGCTGCAGAGTGTGCGGGAGCACACGTAGCAGCAGGGTGGCTGCAGAGTGTGCGGGAGCACTCGGAGCAGCAGGGTGGCTGCAGAGTGTGCGGGGCACACGGGCAGCGGTGTGGCTGCAGAGAGAGCGGAGGACTCGAACGGCGTGCGGAGGGCACGCGACAGAAGAGGTGCGGGTCCGACCGGAGACAAGAACCCAATAAAGGACAGACGGAGACCAACATCGCCTAAGAGTCCTTTATTACAAAATGATAAAACTGAATTCATTTCATCTTACCAAAACAATTTCCCTCAGCCACGGAAATGTCATCCAGGCCTATATCACTCAATCTTAATGCTCCCCGAATCCCCTCCAGGATAACCTGCAGATAGAGTAGATATTGAGTCAGACACAGGCGTCCTTCGCATAACACGTGACATGCGTTTCTGAAAAACAACGCGTAAGTCGAATCGTGCTGTATGAAGACTATTTTCCTATACACATACATGTTATACGGAGGGGTGCGTTTCTGAAGAAAAATTGGGTTTACAAAATACGTATAGATGTAAAACTTGATAACATTTGTAACATTTCAAAGAAATACTTATTAAGGAGTTTAATAAACAATACTAATAATTTTTATTTAAAATATTACTATTTACAAAGCTTACTTAATAATGAGTAACTTCAGGGCTCCTTGAATGCTTCCGTGGGCTGCTTACAGATGCACGCGCGATGCAGACACAGGCGGTAGATCTACGATGGCTACTCCCAGCCCGTGACGCTGGGCGCTGCCATGACGCTGTGACGCCATCAGGAATATTGTTTGTTTGCTTTGAATTTTTAGAATTAAAAATTATTTTTAAACATTTGATTTTTTTTTTCTTTTCTCTCGAGCACGTAAATGTGAAACACAAAGCGTACGTATGAAGTATCTCCCTAAAAGAAGAATCGCATAACTGTGAATTTGCACTGTGGGGGGGGGGCTGAATTACTGGAGGGACGCCTGTACTTTACAGTGATTGTTTCAGATAAATTAACCACAAGAAAAATGTACGGTAATTTTGATTCACAAAGGAATAACTGTAAACATGTGTAGCGCAGTAAATGGGCTCCGTATACTATGGGGACCTCATTTGCCAGTAAAAATATGATAATTGGTTCTTTACCCTTCTATCTGGCAACAAAACTGACACCTTTTTGCAAGGAGTCATGTTTGCATAGACCGCAATACCTGCAGTCATAATACAAACAAAAGAACATAACTCTGATAATGTGCACTGTCCCTGAAGTTGATTGGTCCACACCCGAGACAGCTTTCCTTCGAGCCTAGTCTCATATGGGTTGGACCAGATGACGCCAAAAGGCGCACAACTCAAGGACAATGCACCATCAGAGTATGAGAGCTCTCATACTCTGATGGTGCATTGTCCTTGAGTTGTGCGCCTTTTGGCGTCATCTGGTCCAACCCATATGAGACTAGGCTCGAAGGAAAGCTGTCTCGGGTGTGGACCAATCAACTTCAGGGACAGTGCACATTATCAGAGTTATGTTCTTTTGTTTGTATTATGACTGCAGGTATTGCGGTCTATGCAAACATGACTCCTTGCAAAAAGGTGTCAGTTTTGTTGCCAGATAGAAGGGTAAAGAACCAATTATCGGGCTCCGTATACTTACCTGCAGTAGCAGACAGGGCCCACCAGGGGTAGTAACTTGGACCGGCATAAGGGTCGCTACATTCCCCAGCCCCAAAGCAGGGGAGGGGGTTCTGGGTGTTCTAGGATCACCCGAGACCCCCCTCCCCCCTCTCTGGAAGGGAGGCGTGGCCAGGGGCTGACACACCTAGGGAGGGGTATAAAAGCCGGACCTCTGGATGGGTCCAGGGCCAGTCCGAAGACCGAAGCCAGAAGACCAGCTAGCCTAGGATCCTGGGACCCCGAGACAGGCTGCCCTTGTAAGGGCCGGGACCGAGTAGGCCAGTGGTCGGGACCCGTATCTTGGCTGGGTCAGGTCAGTGTAGCCTCCCCTAGGTTAGTCTTAGCCGGAGGACTTAGAGCCCGTAGCCCAGTGATAGGGCACACTAGTCTGGAGGCCGTACCTCCCCAGGCAGTAGGTAAAAGGGCCGCTGCCCTTTGTGGAAGTTATTGTTACCGTTATTGGAATAAACGCGTTGCCTCTACAAGTCGTCTCCACTCTCCGTGAATCCACAACACATGCATGGATGTAAAATCAAAAAAATAAAGGATGGTTCTAGTTATTTTTACTAGCTCGGGAGGGCAATTATCCCATCCTTGGTATTGAAGGACCAGGCTAATTGGAAATTACTGTCACTTTGTAACAGTGGAAAAATCTGATAAATTTTGGAATTTATAACAGAGCATACACGGGCACAAACATGCCGAAAGATCTTAAATATCCATGGTTGTTGGAAAACAATAAGTAAACAGCAATTGAAAGAGCAGAAACGTATTGAATAGGGTACGCACAAATACAATTACTGCGAGATGCATTGAGAACAAATTAGGATTGGAAATTAGCAGACAGGCATTATCAAAGTAACATTTATGTAAGATTTTTCGAAGAAAATAGCTGTAATTTCTTCAAAGTGGAAGAATAGTGGCCAAACATAGCTATAGGAATCAGACTCTTGGTGGGCGTTTCTGGTGAGTATTAAGGGCCACTGGCCTGGGTGTCTGGCCTGGCCTGGATGGTGACGGTTCCCTGCAGCCAGGCGATGCTCTGCTGCCCCTCCGCGCGCCACACGTGTCTCTCTCCACCGTCCTCCAGCACGTGCACGTTCAGGGTCATAAGTTCATCGCCGAACATGTGATACCAGAAGCTCAGGCACACGTTCTGGTTGGTGTTGATGCTGGGGCTCAGGAGCCTCACTCCTCCCCAGCTCCCACGGATGCAGAGTCCAGGTAGAGGTAGAAGGAGGCTGAAACAAACCGGCATCCCGTGCCGTCAATTTACACCGATAACAAGCAGCACGAGCAGGGCCAGCCATGAGGTTGCTAGGGGCCCGGTGCAGATACGCCCTGTGGGAGCCCCCTACTTCCTTATTGACAAAAGAACCAGGCCCGTTTGTGTGGTCTGGGGAAGACTTCTTATCCGCGATGGTCGGGGAGTGTTGGGGAGAACTTCAAGCTCATCAAAATACCTAAAAAATTGTACAGGTAGTCCCCGAGTTACGATGGTCCGACTTACGATATTTCGATTTTACGATAGCAATACGACAAAATTGAAAAATATTTTACATTTCGCGCGGCAGGCAAACGCAGAACCGTACGAGGTACGATACTGTACTTTATCATCGCCATCCTCTTCCGACAACGAAGTTAATGTAGCCATCAATAACCTAACATCGTTCAAGTATGCAGACAACGGACAGAATCTTGGTGAGTACAGTACAATATGATACGTTACGATACGTTCAATGGATGTATGATACGTAGCTTTAGCGATTTAATTTTAGGGTTACCACGATACGATACATTCAATGCATGTTCAAAGTTTTTATAGCAGATAGGATTGTTTCCTGAAAAAACTTTCTATTAAATTGCAGTTCATATAGGTAGGCTAAGAATTTACCTTGTTTTTAACTTTCAATTTTACTGTGCAATACAGTATTGTAATTAAGTTTATACGGTACGGTACTGTAAATTGCTCTGTTTTGCTAAATTATCACCATTCTTTAAGACTCCTGGATAGGCTAGGCCATCTTCGACTTACGCTATTATAATGCGAGCGTAAGCGGGGTTTCGCTGCTCGGCTCTGGGCCAATCATACGGCCCAGGGTATTGGGGGGCGGGGCCCAGTATGGGGGCGTATGTGAAGGTCCGCCGCTCACCTCGGGTCCAATCGGATGCGAGGTGAGCAGGGGCGGAACCTAAAGGCGGAGCCAGCAAGGCGCTATGCGGAGGCCGGATCTGGAAGGTTTGGTGAAGGGCGTGGTGAGAGGAAGGAGACAGGATCACGTGGTGAACGGAATATAGGTGGGATCCCGGAAGGGCTCCGGGTCAGTTGGTAGAGTCACGAAGCGGGACCACGTTGGGTGGCCGGAGGGTATCCGCGCCATCAGCCACGTGGCTGGAGGAGCTTCGAGCACACCGTCGGCCAGCGGTGTGCGGGAGCGGGGGAGTGGAGCGACTGACGGGAGAGCGCGTGCGAGGCGCGCGAGGAGCAGCTGGTCCGCTGTCGGGACCAGCGGAGTGCGAGCATCAACGGGAATAAAGAGTGACGGAGACCAAGCAGTGTGTCAGCGAAGTCCTTTATTACACTATTTTCGACTTACGATGTGGTCATCGTAACGCATCTCTATCATAAGTAGAGGACTACCTGTATTTTATTCCGTTCACGAAAACTCTCTAATCTTAACCCTCGAAAAAAGTGTGGACAGTGGGATTAATTTATCATGCTACACAGTGCCCCCTCCTGATTTTACAGATCAGCTGTGGCTAGCAGGATGAATTCACCACGAGGTACAGTGTAAATTGAGCTCGGTGGGCTTTACCTGATAAATAATAATAGTTTAATCTTGATTTGAGGCTTTCGTGACTGCAGGAATCCATACTCTTTGGTTCTTTCGGTAAAGTCACGTAGGTAGAAAATAAAATAAATCACGACGTTTTGAGCGCAACACAAGCGTCTTTTGGATTGCACTCTCATACTCACAGGCCCTTCGTATTACACCCGTTGGGTTGCATTCCCTCGTCGAGGAGGCCCACCTCTTCTCCTTATTTTATACAGTTACATGCTTATTTCTCACTTTAACATCATGCTAATTCCTCACATTAACATATCCACTTCCGTGCCCTCTAATTTCTCACTTTAACATCATGCTAATCCCTCACATTAACATAGCCACTTCCGTGCCCTCTAATTTCTCACATTAACATCATGCTAATCCCTCATTAACAGAGCCACTTCCATTGCCCTCGTTTAGGAGGTGGCTCTTATATCTTACAGTTACATACTAATTTCTCATATCAACATCACTAGCCCCGGCCACTTTTTTATGACCCTTGGGTTACACCCATTTCTAACCTTTTTAAAACAGTCTGCATCAGCAGCAGACCATGCTTTCCCACCTGATGACGGACGCTTGTGTGGCGCCCGAAACGTCGTGATTTATTTTATTTTATACCTACGTGACTTTACCGAAAGAACCAAAGAGTAATAATAGTTTAGTTGAGCTTAGATTGTTATTATCTGAAGGGGTGTTTTTTTAATTAATTTGTTTAACAATTATAATACATCAATAAGAGTTTTTTTGGGTTAGATCTCGTACATTTTTTTAATTATTTTTTAAAATGTAACTAGTAATATTTTAATTATTTCCATATAAATGTTCAACCTGTTTACAGTTTTATTCAGATCTAATTTTAAGAAACACTTCGGCCTTGTAGGCAGGCTCGTGAGCATTTTGTCTCTCGTGTGTGTTTGAAGTTAATCACGAGATCGTAAAATCCCACGCAATTGTAAATTTGCTGGGTCAGATTTGTGTCTTGATCAAAAACAGCAAGAGAGCATCGCACGGGAATTTGCTTTATTGTCGCGACATTTGCACAACTGCTGTCATGATCCCACTGGGATGTTTGCACACAGCGTTGGTGTACGGTGTTTTTTCTGCAATATTTTGCTGTCTTTTCTTGGATTTTCTGTTTGCACTTAGTCACATTCACTTTAAGATGTTTTCTTGTTCATGTTTTTGTTTTTTTGTTTGTTGCGGTTGCACCCGATTCAAGAGCCGAATGGCTCACAGGGCTATACTTAATAAATGAACTTAAACAACTTCCGCAAAAACCCAATCGATTTAAATCTCTTTCACTTTAAGTGGCATATTCTCCACTCTGTGCTACAAAATGTTTGCTTCATCATGTGGCAAACATTGTCAATATTCGGCTGAATGAGAATGTGCAGCACCCATACACTGCCTTAGAGGCAATTGATCAAGGAACTCAAGGTTAGTGATATCACCCACAAGCTGTTATAAAACCAGAGTGGTGCACCGCTTTCTGTGGCATTTGGGAATTTAAATGTTTTCATCTCATGACATGACACCAATAAGCAAAACTGTATAAAATTTTACACGTAGGCTTTCGCGACCAATATCATCCATAATAGTGTGTTTTGGGGTTAGATCGCCTACATTGAGTTCAACAATGGGGCACATCCAGGTGTTCTTATCTACGAATCAAAGTTTAGGCTTAACTGCAAGGTACATACGAAAAAAAATATGCGTGGATAGACGAGATTTGTTAAAACGCACTGGGCGGCACATTGTTAAAATGCAATGCAGACGTAATTTTGTATGTATGCTAAACAAGTGGCTCTAATTGTTTCATTTATATATGTATATACAACTGAAAAGCATGGTACGCTGAACAGGAGATAATTCTGTAAAACAGTAAACATGTAACAATATCCGAGGTGAAGACTCAACACAGAGTGTTCGTAACAGATAGTTTTGTCATTGAATTTTGTGAGTTTGTTCCCCCAGTGTTGTCTCGATTATACTACTGGCGTCAATACGAGACGCGTCCACCCATATCTCCTGCAGAGCAGTGTGACCCTTCGTGTTCAAAGACGGCCCACAGAAGCGGCTATCAAAGAGCTACCTTTGAGATGCCTTCAAGTCACCTCCGGACGACACGCAGTAGAGGGCAGCACTTCCCACTTGCTCTGCATGAGAGTTATGTTTATCGCAAGGCGGCCAAACTAAATATTTTATTCTCAGTGCTGGGATTTATTGCCAAATTAAGCGTGTTAAATAAATTTAACGTGATGTGATTTTTGTGCGCAGTCATTGGTAACCATGTTGAGGTCATCAACTCACTAAGACTTGAGAAGCAGGTTTAATCACAGGCAGCGGCCTTGACTCAAACCTTGGCCAGCACCTTATCGAGCTGTGCTATCCAAGTCCTCTGACTTCTGAGCCACCTGGCCACCAGATTATATTTTATTTTTTCTTCTAAGCAACCATTTTACAATGTGAGTGCTGCTTACATCCGTTGGTGTGGTCCCCAGGTGGACCGGTGTTGGGGTTGGGGGTTGCTCCCGAGTTCCTGATCCAGTCTCCGGTGTCATCGCCTGACTGAGTCCAGCCGCACAGCGGGAGCCCCTCATCATCAAAGCTGCAGCCGAGATGCGCGTCTGTAAAAAATAACATTAAAATTTTGTTATAAATTCACGGAATCATGCTTTCCTTTATTGGGCACGGTATAAAGACAATACAGCTGAATAATGTTGCCACTGAGATATTTACAGTGCTTTTCAATGTTACTGGTGGGTCATTGATCTGAATAACCAGCTTTAAGACAGATCAGTTTTATTAACCAAACCCTCGATTTAAGCTCACAAACTTCCAACGATAAGTTATATGCTCTTGCCACAGAAGCACCCAGCTAGATAACCATTACTGTACAAGAAAGGAATTGGCCTGCGTGATAATCTGCAGTGGAGTTCAGAGTCTGCAGTGGATATATTTGGTCACGCACGCTCACAAATGAACTCCTGAAAACAGGTGCACAACACGGTACTTTTGTATGTGTGTGATATAAACTCATTCGGTGCTGTCACGGGGCATTAAAGTCACATTCATTTCTGATATTCACCATCCACCAATAGATGGTTGCCTCCTCAAGCATTGTAGGGCATGGGGTGTTTTTGACCATACTTCACCATGCTGGTCAGTGCAGGCTGGCTAAGGGTTGAATCGGTTCCGATATCACTCGCCACCGATGTTAGCCGTGGCAACGAATCGAACTCGGACGGTGGGATTCATTGCTGCAAGTGCTGTTCGTGAGCACACACAAGACACTCCCAGCGCGAGGCTGACTCATTACATCTCGCGGAGAATCTCTCCGCTGATGAGTGCCACGGTTCAGTTTGCAAGTGCGAGTTCGCGTTTTAAGTCGATGTAAAAAAATGTTGTGGAAGTTGTTTCGTAAGTGCGGGTGTTCATAAGCCAGGTGTTCGTAAGTTGAGAACTGGCTGTAGTTTTAAAAATGTAATTTTTAATAATATTAACACTGGGTAAACGAGCATAATGATGTGTCCTATATGTATGTTGTATTTTAATATTTTAGTTTGTGTATATTTGTTAATCATTCTACACCATACAGTTTGTACGTTTTTCAGGAATATTTATCCTTTTTCATGGATCTTCCCGTGCCACCACCTTGCGTTTGTCCCCAGGCCTGCCCTGTGCAGAGATATGTGTGTTGTTTCTGTGGGATCCTATCCGGCTACATAACATGTGGATCGCCGACTCCTCTAACTGGTGGCTCCCCTGTCTCACATCATACCTGACTCCAAGATCCAACTCGGTGACCCCTACGTAAGTATGTATCTCGTACCCCGGCTGCGTTTTCCGCTCGCCTTGGCTTGGTGACGGCAGGGGAAGGGCGCGTGCAGGCCCGATGGCCCAGGGAGCATTTATGTTGGTGACATTAATGGCGGTGATGTTCGCCGACGAGGTGTTTTTATTTCAATCAGCGATGAGCGGATGAACTTCATCAAACGTGGCGGTGACGGTCACTGCTAGCCACCAAAGAACGATGCGCTGCTGTGAAGACGCAGGCTGCGATGATTTTGCGATGTTCGAGACTGCAGTGGACTAAAGATAACACAAGTGGTAAGTTACGAGAGAGTGTATGGACTGTATATAAAAAGAAACATTTAACGAGTTCACGGATTGGCTGACCTGATAACATTTATTATACTGAGGAGTAATAAAATGACACTCTCCTCACATCAACATATCAGTACTCAGATTTGGACTACATTTTTGGCTGTCATAGTCATAGCAGGGATAGAACATATATAAAATCCACAGACTGAGACTGTGACTGAAATAAAATAAATATGCCATCTCAATTAGCACGGACTGGTGCTGGCCAGCGTGCGGTGTGCGGTGCCTGGCCTATGCATGGATTCTTCTGGATGAGGCATGCACGAGACTCGAGAGCGCGGTGCAGGTGCCTTGGATGTCCCGCGGTCCACGTCGCGGGGCAAGGTCCCCCTGGTAGTGACCCTCGATGTGTTGACGTGACGGCTTTCACGCATCTCCCATTATCTCGGTGCGGTTACATTTTGGACCCAGCAAATGTACTAGATTGTGCAAGTGTCTCTGCCTGCCGTAACATCCGAGATGAGATTGGCCGTTGTGATGTAGTTATTGAACACGTCAAGTGAACCGGCTGTGGGAAGCCGTTTCAATTCCAATTACTTGTCACGGTTGACACTGCTTAGTTGAAGAAGAATTGCCGCTGCGACTGATCGTTAAATTGATTAATTGGATAAAATAAGCGAGGCGCTTTTTGAGAAATGTGACTGCATCTCAAAACATTGTAAAGAAGCGGCAGGTGTATGTATTTCGTGGGGAGAGGCAGGCAGGCAGTCAGGCAGAGGATTCATGAGAGATCTTGAGGCTGGACTTGAACAGGGGCAGGGAGCCGGTAGCATGGGTGGCTGAGGGAAAGGAATCCCGAACTATGAGGGCACCACAGGAGACCGAGTGACCTCCTTCTGGGTGAAGGTTGACTGGGGGCTATAGAAAACGCCTCGGTTGCCCGAGCAGAGAACAGTTAAAGGGAAGTAGAGTGAGATTAGAGAAGACAGAGGTAGCAGAATACATGGAGGAAGAGAGAGTGAGATGCCATGGGAAAGGTAGAAGAGTGCGTGGAAGGGAGTGGAGTCAGATGAGAGGGGAGAGGTAGGAGAAATGTGGAGGGGAGTAGAGTGATAAGAGAGGGGAGTCGTAGGAGAGTGCGTGGTGGGGAGTAGAGTTAGATGAGAGGGGACAGATAAGCAGCCGTGGGTTCAAGGAGGATCTTGGAGACGGTGGAGGGGTCTGCAGGATTGGGGTGACGTGGTCTTCATTGCAGGTGCCACCAGCAAGGAGTCTTGCGTGGATCTCTCCTCAAGGGAAATTCGTCTCAGATGTTAGCTGGTTGTGTATGGGTCTTTGTCAAAGCAGTGTTCGTTAATGGCAATTATCGGGAAAATACTTTCAGCTGCTCCTTAAAGCCCACTGCAAATAGAGTCCCTTAACTTGTATTTGAAGTTACAACCCCTACAGCTGTGGAAACTGTCACATTGGGCTTTACCAGCAACCACTGTGCAGTCAACATGGATTGACTTCAATATTTACAGAGCCTCGTTATCATCGCCACGGAGGCAAGGAGAGAGCTGTTAGGCCATAAACCACAACTCGGGCGTTAACCCAGGGATGCCAGAGCTGTTCACTTCAACCTACCGGTGTGGCCCTTCAGACCCGTTCAGTGTTCTCCTCGTAGAGGCCGCTCATGACTTTGAGTGCAACAGGACATTAAGAACAGGGGGTTAAAATGTCCATTGAATTACGTTGCCTGTTTTTGTGACGACGGTAAACTTGAACATCCTATAATGGAATTCCATAGCTCGTGCCCTGTCCATGTCAACAAACGTTGTTCAGTATTTTACGGAAAACATTTACGGGCATTACCTGTGACGGATTTTCATCGATCATCACTTTTTGTCTCGGACTGAATCGCCGTGAACGCACCCGATCTTGTCAGATCTCTGAAGCTAAGCAGGTGTTTAGCCTGGTTAGAACTCGGATGGGAGGCCGCCACGTGTTACCCTTAGCGTTGGCCGCAAGGTGGCCAGAAGATGGCAATGTCGAGTAATGTCCGGCTTCCTTGCTGTGGTGTCGATTTACTCCAGATTTTCTGGTTTACTCCCTCAAATGAAACCACTCGTTCAAGAAATTTGTCGAAGCATCCCATTGCAGGACGCTGCTGGAAATGAGTCTCAAGACTCGGGCTCTTCTGGATTAATGAAGGAAATTTTGATAATAGGGTTTTACCCTTTTATCTGGCAACAAAACTGACACATTTTTTTTACAAGAAATCATGTTTGCATTCTGACCACAATAGTTGCGGTCAAAATGCAAACAACAAAAAACAGCACTCTGATAACACTGGTCAACACACTTTTTCTGGCATAAGGTATTCCAACGGTTGTAAGGTAATTTTGGGTTGCTGATTCCAAATCTGGCATCAGTTTTTGTGAGATATCAAATATTGGGTGGGACGCATCCCCCCCCAATATTCAAATATGCTCAAAATGTCCCCCCCAATATATTGCTATAAAAAAATAAAAAATAAAGTAATCATAATTGCTATGCTTTGTAAATAAAAACAACAATTTTCTAAACCTTGACCACAATATCTGTACTTGTCTTCATATAAATCAATGCATAGATTTATGTTTATATGATTGTGGTTATGGTTAAACTTTCTTAATCTCAAACATTACATACAATGAAACAAAGAAATGGTAAAAAAAAACAGAGCAATGTAATACAATACACTATTAGACAATATTGTAAAAAATAAATAAAAAGTCCATCCCATGTGTTTATGAATTTTTCAATATTTTAGGCAGGAAATGGCAGGAAATGAGTTTTCAATTTTAGATTTTTATCTGGGTTGGGACCCCCAGACCCCCTAGAAGAGTTGGTCCCCCCAAATCTTGACTCCATGGCTACGGCCTTGCTTTAAAGGGTACAATTGACCCCTCGCCATTGCTCTGTTGGGGCAATAAAATGCATAACACGTCGTGGGAGTTCACCACCACGCTGTGAAGATACTGGCACCACCGTAACAATGCTGAATTTCCACTCCTGGCAAGGGGCATTAAACAGAGATGACCACCGCTCAGTGATCATTTGATAATGGGGTCACATGCCTGGGTGGCTGCAACTAAAATTAACCCAAAAATGATTGTGCAGCTCTACCATGGCGACTGTCCCCATGAACCTAACTCAGTGATTCCTCCACTCACGTTGAGGGCCCAGGTCCAGCTGACACTGACTGCTTCATCTCATCTGTACTGCCTTTGACCACCACACTGCAGCTCACAACACTTCGCTTTCGGCTTCTTTCCTCGCACTGCTCCACTTTGAAATTCCTTCTCATCGTTTATTTTTTCAATCTCGTATATCCAACTTTGCTCAAGTCAAGAGACATGTGAACTCGAATCTGTTACAACTCTGATAGTGAATAACGCAGTGGTAATTGTGGAGCATCGAGCCATCAGCACTTAGAAGTTTTATGTCACTGCGCCACCCTGGCGCCTGAGATGAAAATCAGCAGCTCGTATCGGAGCTTAAATATATAAACCGGCTTGTCGTGTGATATGAATGTTATGCCCCTGGCTTGTTAGACCACAAATGGACCATATAACCATTACAAAACAGAACAAAAACATAAAAACAAGTTGGTAGTTATTTCATTTTCTGCACAGGGGGCCTGTTTGCACTGGCAGGCATGGGATGCATCACGACGTTGTATGGCTGCAGGGAGCGATGACACGCATGTGTGGGAAATTTGAATTAATCTCATATCCCGTGTGAGTAGTGCTATTAAACACGAACCTGTGTTGTTAACGGGGTTCCGGAATGGAATGTGATGCTTCACTCGGAGTCTAGATGCTGCTGTGTTCACCCACCACAAATCTCCCGTGTAAAACAGACGGGCAACTGGCTAAACGGGACCCACTCGTGTAACAAATCAAATAAACTCAACACTTAAACTTTGATGCTGATATGCACAATTATTGAAAAATGTAACCAGCTGACACTTACCAAGATCTTGCCGCTCCTGGCCAGGCGAGTCTCCAACACGCAGCGTCCAGGCACTGCAACAGAGATCTAAGTGACTCGAAATCCCATCACCATCACGTGTCACCCATTCCACAACGGTGTCTGTGCACAGGCAGTTGTGCACGAGTGACGACTGCTGACAGCGTCAGCCGTGTTTGATGGGTTAGAGAGGCACCTCAGCGTGCTGAGTGTCGATGTGTGATGCACATTTTTTCCTATTTCACAAATAAATGCATTGTGCATAAAATGGTAACATAGATTGCATTTCTACTCGTCGGCAAACACGTGTATATTTTTTTGCAGAGGGTTCTCTCTTGAGTAATTTGACGGTGTTTTTTTCAGCATTGGGATCTTTTGTCCATTTCCATTTCGTGTGTCTTTTTAGTTATGAGTGGAAACTGAAGAAACCAGGGGAAACCCATGCAGAATAGAGGGAGAACATATACACTCCACACAGAGACGTCCGAGTCAGGTATGGAACTCAGACGGTTCTTGCTGTGAGGCAGTGTGCACTACGGGGCTTTATGTAAAGTATATATCTGTTGCTCGTGTGTATGATTGGTACAGTAATTCCACTTTTATAAACAGCGCCACTGAGTAATTCACTATCGCTCTACAGCAGGCATTCCAAGCAGTCAAAATGGCCACATCTTTAGATAAGTCCACACCCCTCTGGTAGGAACCAGTGCTACTCTCCACAGAACAACCAATGTCGCTAGATCCTCACAAAGTATACCTATTTTAATGAAACCCTGAGGGATAATGGGCAAAAGCAAGTCATACCCAAAAGAAAAAATTAGGATATTTTGATTGTGGAAACAGTAGTTACGAAACACAGATCCACCTGGCCAGACATTACTTGAAAGCTGTATCGATTAAGCCATCGTTTCGCTGCAATCTGCAGCTGTAATGATGAAGCACTCCGGCCACAACTCTGTTCCAGCCACACGAGTGAAGTCGATTCAGTCGAGGCATCCCTTACGTAACGCGCTCCCACTTAGCGCGAATTTGCAGCAAATCGATTAATCTTTTCGGGACACACGTCACACGTACGCTATGCGTTTCACAGTTACGCGCCCAAGAAAATAAACAATAGAAATTGTGAAAGTAAAATATTTCAAAATAAATACTAATATTTTAAATTATAAAAAAAAATATCAAGGGAGAAATATATTTCGCAGATTAACCGACACAACATCTCAATCTGATGGCGTCACCCTGTCTTGGCAGCGCTCAGTGTCATGGATGGGCTGGGCGTAGCCAACTTATTAAGCAATCTATGTAAGTGGTAATGTTTTTAATCTTATTTATTATTCGTTATTAAACTCCTAAGTATTTTTTTTCAATGTTAATCATATTATTACGTATTAAATGTATACTGTGCGTACTTTGTAAATTCAGGGATAATAATGAAATGATAATTAATTTGTCTTCAGTAACGCACCCCCTGGATAACATCTATGTCAATGGGAGCATTGAGCCTTCATCCAGAGCGATTCGACTTACGCGCGTTCTTTTCAGGAACGAGTATCGAACGCTACGTGATGGATTGCCCTCATACATTTGATCAACCTACTCCAGGTGGGCAGATGGCATTGTGGTTAGAGAACTTGACTCACAATCGGAAGGCTGTACGTTACAATACAATTTGTGTTTCTCATATCTGGGGTTGATAAGATGAGTACCGCATACTGGGAGGTCGACGAGTGGTCATCTTGTCCACAGTGGTTATCGTTTTGGGAAACCCCTACGTAGGAATGTGAAATTTGCATGACTGACTCAGATAAGCCAGCGGTGATAAGCACTATACACAGTGAGAAACTTTGGTTTGACTTGTGGGTAGTCAATACTGTCTATACAGTACATATTGTCTCTCCGTATTTGTAAATTAGTGCTTGGGAAATGTTGTTCTTGGTTATTGGCTTTTTAACAAATGTCTCTCAGAAGTGTTTGACTACGAAAACGGAATATCTGCCAAAGCGATGCAAATGAGGCCATGCAGCAGCCCGTTTCACACGGAGTCACGTGACGCCACGAAGCACAAAGTCCATTCGGAACTCTCTAAGAGCAGTGCAACGTCATACAATGGCCCACGTAATGAGATATCAGAAAACTACTTCTGAGATCCCTCCCTTCAAGTGACATGTTATATCCGCACACTTAAAGGGATAATTTTCTATTACGAAGAAATGTCCATCATATAATGGTCAAACCACATTATATTAAACAATTCATAGCTGGAATGTAAGCAGATTACGAATAATAATACAATTATATAATGCAAGTTTTACATTCATTGTTGACTAGGCTGAGGCCACCAACTCTCTCACAGGCGACCGCCTAGATTTGAACTCAGGCCTCAGCGGTTCTGGCTCAGTGATCATTCGAAAGCTACTTGGGTAGCCTCATCACATCTCATGGATGGTGTTCTAAAGAAGTCAGAACCAGAAATGGGATGGGTCAAGAAGCCATCAGAAAGGATTTCCTAACAACCCGTTGATGGCAAATTGAAGAAAATAATCAAGAGCAAGGTCTGGAGTGTGGCGAGGTGCGCCTGTGAGCGGTGGACAATGCAGACACGAGGCACGGATTTGAAGGTTTTGAAAATGTGGATTTTGACCGAGAATTATATAAATGAACCAGACAGGAATAAACACAAAGAGGTCCTGCTTCAGCTGGGAGAAAGACTTGAACTCGTAAAAACTAAAAGTAAAAGGAAGAACATCTGGATTGGGCAGGCGGTAGTGGGGGGGATGAGCTGAAGGAGGTGATTGTGGGAAGATTATTTGGGAGAAGACCAAGAGGAAGCAAAAGAACGGCGACCCCAGGTGATGTTCAATGGACAGAGGGCGAGAGCAGCAGAGACAGAGCGACACGGGGGAGAGGTGATGCGCGTCCGCTTATAATCCCTATTACAAATAGGAAATTACAGCTTGCATTAAAAAATGTCAATACAATTGCCCGAAGTCCATACAGTCCGCACGGCCAAACGCCATCCACGCGGTCGAAATTTTACATTGGTGGTTATCAATAAAAATCGAAGTTGCGAGAAAGTGCGCGTGCCCAGTGAGCGGTGACAACAGACGAACCCAAGACTGGGTGGCGTGCGGTGCTTGGGGCCAAGTTGCCGAGAGGGCAAACGAGCAGCGATCGCGCACTCCTTTACTTGCTTACAAACTGCACGGACATTGCAACCGTTTAACGTGCTCACGCTCAGCTCGATTTGTTTTGCAACGTATGTTTAAAATTAGCATTTTCACCAAATATAATCGCCGGTAATTGTCTGAAAGACTGTCGTGCTTTAAAGACGCCGCACTGAACACAACATTCGTTCAACACAACTGCTGCGTATATACATTCGAGAGCTTTTACAGGACCGTACGAGAAAAAAATTAAGAAAATGTGTTTACCTTTTGGTTTCCCACAAGGACCATGTAATTAAGCATGACATTAACAATGTCAAACATCTTTGAACCATCTTGCAGTTCTGCGGTTGGGCCCCTTGAGAGTGCGGTTCTGAAGTGTCGATAAAACCTCCGGACTATTTATGGGCGGACAAGTTCACCTCTGTGCTGTTTGCTAAATGAGGCTTAGCCCCCCCTCCCCCTTATCACAGGAACCATACAAAGTAAACAGCCTTGGCAGTCAGTGCTTTATAACACAATACATGACTCACTCCTTAAAACACAATGCTATGTAAAAATAAATAAGACCTTCAGCACTTTTTAAACTTAAAATAATTTCCAAAGTTCAATGTACACGTCAAAGATTTTTTTAAAAATCCCTATTGTTTTAAAGATATCCGAATCAACAAGCGTACACACAGCGTCATCAATCAGTCACGGTTGTAAATGCGAATAAACTACAAGTTGTTTAAAAATGCATGAATCGGGAATTACAAATATTGGCACGCCAGATATAATGCACACCCTTTTCCACATGGCATAAAAATTTCCATTTCAGTGTAACCACTCACGTTGAACCTGGTTCATTTGTTTTATGGCCATATTGCTGTATTAAAAAATAGCGTGACTACCCTTACTATCCGTGATGCGCAGAGACTGAATTCTGTGCCGGTATAGTTTCATGCCGATACAAGCGACCAGCAACAGAGGCCGATAATGCCAATTGCAGCCCCAGAATATTCTCAATCGAACGCGAATAAATTGTGTGCACGTCCAGTCAAATTCATAACGAACTGCTTGAGCTCAAGGGTGCAAGGTTCCTCGCGCGAGCGCGCTAATCTCCGTGCCACCACTCCTCCACCCATCGTTAGTGACGGTCAACTGAGTCAACCCCCCGATGGTGGAGCTTGGAAAGCCGAACAGAGTTCACAAGAAGAAGAAGACGTCACAAACAACGAGCACCTCTTATGGAGAGATCAGACTACGCAGAAAGATCCCTGGCTGGGATCTTCCTGCGAGGCTTCTGGGCCACAACTCCTGGACCGCATCCGCTGCGCCACAACCCATGGCACCAGCAACAGATGCGATCACTTTGATGATGCATTGCTTGGGAAATGAACAACTCTCCGATTAATGTGTGGAGACTGGGGTCGCCACCCAGAGCAAAACCACGGCACATCTCACAACTCGGTGATCGATTCGCAAATACGAAGCAGGCATCATCACAGCCATACCAGATGCGCTTTTGTGTCCGTCTGGAACGCTCTTCCTTGCGATATTAGGAAGCCACTGAAACTATACGCACTTTTAAATCTAGATTGAAAACTTTTTTTTAGAACTGATTTTTGTATTTAGTTTGTTGCCCTACGCCCGCACCTCTGATTAGCATTGTTTACTACGTACGGTGCGAAAGAAGTTCAACATACACGCATACATACCACTCCACTACTCCCGACGCAATTATATGGCTCAACCACCTCAAAGTTAAATTATATATGTTGCTTTGCATCAAGATCGCCATATGAAGAATACGAAGACGGTAACAGCGACATGCCCTACACTCAATGCAGAAATAAGCAGCATGAGAATTGGACATAGAAGCTTATTCTCTGGATAAACTGCAATGTGCGCGAGTTGTCTTGGGCATCACTGTGGCTATGAGATGTTAACTACCTCGCCTGGTGTGCAGGAGGTCGTGAGTTTGATCCGGACGCTGACGCCTGCTGCTGTATATTTGGAGTTTGCGTGTCTCTCTCATCATCATCACTGTGGCTATGATATGTTAACTACTTCGCCTGGTATGCAGCAGGTCGTGAGTTTAATCCGGACGCTGACGCCTGCTGCTGTATATTTGGATGTTACATGTTGTCCCCGTGGTTGCGTGGATTTTTCTCCGGTTTTTCCTTCCACAGTTAGAATCGATACTCTTTGGGTCTTTCGGTAAAGTCACGTAGATCGAAAAATTATTTTAAAAATCACGACGTTTCGATCGCAACACAAGCAATCGTCCTCAGATGAAAACAATATAAAGAATCAACATCACGCGTTTAGACTATTTGGCTGCTCTACATATTCACGTGATGATAATCCACTTCGTTGAGCTGTCATTTGTGGCCAGGTCGCTTCTGAAAAAGAGCTGTATAGGCTCAGTGGGCCTTAGCTGGTCACATTACCAGAGGTGTGGACTCGAGTCATGTGACTTGGACTCGAGTCAGACTCGAGTCATGAATTTGATGACTTCAGACTCGACTTGGACTTGCATAACAATGACTTTGTCCCACCTCTGAGGTGTGGACTCGAGTCATGTGACTTGGACTCGAGTCAGACTCGAGTCATGAATTTGATGACTTCAGACTCGACTTGGACTTGCATAACAATGACTTTGTCCCACCTCTGCACATTACAAATAAAGTTTTCTCGACGGTCCATGGTTTGTGCTGCACGGCCACAATGGCACTGCCGTGGCTCGGCCGCCCCCTCGTGGCGCAGTCACGCCAGGGCACACGCGGCCGCGCCTGATTGTGCCACCGCGGTGATTGCAACACTTGCACTCACCGCCACCACAACAACAACAACAACAAGCGCCATTCGCCACTAAGTGGCGGTGACGTCACCACGACGCTTGTGCCAGGCCATGTGCACGTTGAGGCCACGTAAAGTGTCGAACACCCGCTGGCAGGAGGTCACGGGGCAGACCCAGGTGCTGACTGAGATGACTTGCTGATGCACCACCTGTGTCCCCTACTGGCACAGCAACCACACGAGCGTCTCACGCCCCTCTCTGTGCGTTATGCAAGAAGCATCGGCAGTAGTTCATGAAAAACTGAGTTGGGGGGGGGGGCATGGGGGGGGGGGGGTAAGCCCCCCCCAAACTGGACACCTTTATTCATTTATTTTCAGTAGTATAAAATTAAGATCATACATAAATAAATTATGTGCACCCCCCGATTCCTAATGCGAGGGACAAAGCGAACCCCTGCCCCCCCCCCCCCCCACTCAAGTCAAACTCGGTATATGACTGAGCCGTAGTCCTCTTGTTCTAGGTCAGCATTAAAATAATATTGAGGGAAAATGTCATCGACGGACAAGGCAACGGTGATAACAGAGCTAGACGAAAGTGGACTGGTTTCATTCTTATTCGGACTCATCAGCACAGTGCCCAAATATGCGATTCTGCTATCTTCTCAAAAAAATTAATCTGTGGGTCGATCCTGATTGTCCACAGATTAAATAGCAGGCACCCAAAAGTTCGTCCTTGAGGGTTGTGGAATCCGATTGTTGGGCCACGAAGTGGCACAGGATATCACGAACTCGCGACGGAATGAATGATAAATTATGTTAATGCGGCGGGAAGCCAATCGGCGTCAAGGGGCGGTCCAATGTGGGCTCTTACGTGCTCAATAACGGGCACCCCAGACAGAGACCGAGAATTGTGCAATTTCCTCCACCAACTCTTTGCGTCCACTGCTTAAGATGTTGCACTACTTCAGCATATTGGCACAGGACAGAGGAGAGTGGAAACACATGACGAATGTGCAGTGGACATCTCCGGGGGGCTATCTGCCCATGCATGAATCCCGATGGTGACTCGTGGCGGCCAGTAGAGGGCAGTGTCGTGCCATGCCCAAAGCCACGCCGTTCTCCCGACTCCACAACGACATTTGCGGATGATGGCCGGGTGGGGTCAGAGGTCAGACTCAGAGCACTGCCGAACTGGCAACGCTTTAATATCCTGCATTCAAAATCCAGACACCATAAATTAAATCGATCTCAAGTGCACCTCGGGAGTATGTCTTGGCCTGACCACCCAATGCCTGCACGAGTAATCATCACATACGGAAACAGTGTTTTGCACTCAATTTAACTAAATTTCAGATCTCGAGTTAAATGTACGGGATATTACAGCAGTTTTAGAAAGTGCAAACTTTACTGTGTAACCGATTGTGTTCTGTTATTGCATAGGGCAGCAATACATTCGGGGGATAAATGTACATGTTAGCCATGAGAGGGTTGCAGGAGAGTGTAGTTTTGCTCTCACTCCGTTAAAGGAGAGCAGTCTCAAGCGGTTTACTATACGGTCAATAGTTTGGGTGGCATGGCCACAATTGCACTGCTGTGGGTTGTCTTTGATCTTCCATTCATGACGATGTTGCGCATCGACCGGTTGCTAGTTCCATCAACGTCAAAGCCACCAGGTTGCGATGTTTGGGTCTCGAATGAAACGTTCATTCCGGACTTTCGCATTGCTCCACTCTGTTCGCCAGCGTTCTACCGGTTCTGGGTGGGCTCACAGAAGGGGACCCGGGACTTTAGAGTCGGAGGTCTTTGTCAACGGGTGACGGATACAAAGGACATTTAAATTTTTCTGGTTAAGTCCCGTTAAGAAAATACTCCCCTCAACAGCTGTTCTCCAACACACGTGGCAACACTGCTCTGAGAGCTTTGCAAATGGACTTTCAAGAGCACAAGTGGGTAAGATTTTTGTTAAACGTCCCTCTAAAGTCGATCACAATCTACGATTTAGAAATTATACAGCACAAACCTGAAGACAGGTGAGAATGTCTGCAACACACAAGAGATCAATGTGCTCATATCAATCTTTATTTAAAGTAAATGCAAAGGTACCACGAAGTGCACGGTCATAGGCAGGTGTCGTCAGATGCGACGCTGCCAGGATGGAGCCGCAACCCTCCCGCGTGTGCAGTCGCCTACTCCTCGCGCGAGAGCGGACGGGAATGAGCCAAACACGTTTTTAAAAAATGTGTGCCGCGCAACTAGACACAAAAGTAACAGCACGTCTCTTGGTATGCAACCGCAAATTGTTCGACCTCGTGTACGCAAATGGCGACCATTTGCGTTACATAGCGTGCGGTGTGGCGGCTCGTCGACTCTTCACTGCAGACGCGGGTCCCCGTCGCACCAGCGGGGTGTGAATGTCGTGACGTTTCATTCGGTGGCCATGGGGCGTTGCTTGATATCCAGTCGTGATGCGTGGTTTCGTGTCTGTATGTGCACACTATTAAAGTTGGGCTCGAGATAAATATCAACAAAACAAAAGCCAAAAAAAAAACAAGTCTTGTACAAGTCTGCTAAACTGAAGAGATCTTGACAGGACACAACTGTAAATCACATCAGAGTTCATATACAAGGTTCTCTGGAAAAACCGAACCTATTAAACGAAAGCAATGTGCAGAAAGGATTCAGTTTTTACCGAGTATATTAACTGCTATAACACAGGGATCAGAAACGTGGACAACGACGTGACATAGAAAATGCAACAGATGCTGACAAGTACACGAATGGTGACGACGGACAAGACGGACGGAAAGGGGAGCACGTCAGAGTCGTCGTCATCATGTCGACCGCTGAGAGGCAAGTGCGCCTGGGCGGGGGACGCGTCGCGACGAGGGAAGACGGCCGGCGGTCGAGACTGACGACGGAGGAGCAGCCAAGGAAGGGGGAAGGGGGAAGCACGGACGACCGCCGTGGAGATGGAGCAGTAATGTGACCGGCTTGCGCGCATTTGAAAGTGCGCCCAACTGTCCAATTACGCTTGAATTGTTCCCATGTGTTGTACGTATGCCCATGAGCCTGCGATGCGGCAAATGTTTGCCTGCGAATGCACATTTGCCTTTTGTGTTGTTTCGCGTTGCGAGTGCTCTGCAAACACACGGTGATGCCCATGTGTACGTCTGCTTGTGGAAAGTCCCTCTGCTCCAATCATCGTCTCTGTAAAACACGTCTACAAAATGGAAATACCATTTTACCGAAGTGATTTTTGGAGACTAAACAATGAATAGAAAGTATACCAACCATTGAATGTGTTAAACATACATGTTCTTAGGTTTTTTCGGTAAAGTCACGTAGGTAAAAAAAAATTAAGGCTCAGCCTTTGTTATGCAGTCTATTCTTAGTCTTAAACCTCACCTTACCATATTAATAAAAGTATGCGGCCCTTGCCCCACCACCTTCTCCAACCATTATATAAACGGAGTGGTAGCTCCTGCAATCTCTCATTTACTTGATACAGCTGTCGTGGCTGTGACGGTACCACCTGAAGACGGAAGCTTGTGTTGCCTCCGAAACGTCGTGATTTTTATTTTATTTTACTTTTTAATGTTTTTTACCTACGTGACTTTACCGAAAAAACCTAAGAATATGAATCATTGCAGTCACGAAAGCTTCAAATCTAGAATTAACATATATAATTAGATGCTTAGTTTTGTATAATGTTAAATATTAGGCATGTAACGATCCACCTATTAAAATCAATTCTTACACTCACAATACGTGCACCGAATCATGCGTGTAAGCATCAATTATATTTGCGTGTAAGCATCAATCGTGCAACTTATGTACAGATGTTAACGTTGAGGCTAATGGTGAGAACGACGAGACAAAAAAAACGAGAGACAACACGAATGAGAAAGTCAAAACGACACAACAAAGGACAGACGCTCTCGAAATTCAGCCGCGACAATCGTCGACAGCGGCTGCGGGCGGGCGGGTGGGCGGGGTGTGGATCGTTACAAGCCCCTTTAACTATCCGTGGCGACGAGCATCGTACAGGACGGGCAGCGGGCAAGCCAACACGGCTCACTCCCGGCGCTCGCCGCATCAGAGCCCCGCTGCTCCTGCCGCCGGCGCCGCCGCCGCTTCCCCTGCCGCCGCCGATGGACTCGTGTTGCCCAGCAACCTCCTCCGCCCGGCCTCGTAGTCATCCTCGTCTACGTTCACCAGCAGGCGGATGGCCTCGTGCCCCACGGCCTGCTTGAGCGAGTCAGTGATGAAGACGCCCTTGAGGGCCTCCAGAAGCGACCCGTTGAGATAGTCGCGCCAGAACGCGTCGAGGTACGTGAGGGCCGAGAACTTGATGTCGCAGATGATGGCGCCAAGGTCGCGTGACTTAAGCGTCGCGACGGCCTGCGAGAACCTCTCGAGCTGGCGCTCCAGAGGGTCGGGCTTGTTGGAGAAAACGCTCTCCTGCAACGCGGCGTCGTGGTGGCAGTACTCTGCGCGCACGCGCAAGCGAATGTCTGCCGCACACAACGCAAGGCATTTCAGCGACCGTTCAAATAAAACTCGGGAAAAACTATTTTTTTACTTTGCCAGGTCTGGCCCCACTGAGCTACGTAGCTCTTTTGCAGAAGCAACCTGGCCATCACAAATTCTAGCTCAACAAGGTGTGTTATCATGTGGAAATTGATAGCAGCCAAATAAACGCGTGATGTTGATTCTAAATGTGAAGGGAAATAGCTGAGGACTCGAAGAAAAATCCACGCATCCACGGGGAGCATGCAAACTTCAAATATACAGCAGGCGTCAGGGTTGAAATCGAACCCACAACCTTCTGTATACCAGGCGAGGTACTTACCATCTGACCACCGCGGCACCCCTGTGATACACACTTAATCCGATTCATGATCGGTCTCCTGGGTTAGATCCTGTTAGTGTAATGTCAAATTTTAACAACCCTCCCCCACCTGACAGAGTCAATCAAATCAAGTTGTCACGTGATGGGGCAAATTTGACGATTGATTTGGTTTATCAGCAAAACTGCAGCAGTGTTGAAGAGCATGTACATATTTAGCTGGGTAGGTTTCGCTGGATATTAAATCCAGCATCATCACGGTGTTGACAAAGCTCAACTTTGGTGTGAATAAGCTTCCTGATCCAGGTTTTTAAGTAGGTGCCATGTCATCATCAGCACACCATGCACGTGAATTATGAAACATTGGTTGCGAAAGCTTGCGTATAAAATTACTCACTTAATCCCCTTTGTTATTTTCCCCAATTTTATCCAGATTGTGCCCCAGGCATATCCCTGCAGATCTCCCTCATGTTGGAGAACGGTCCACGGAAGCGTATACCAGAGCTACCTCTGAGATTCCTTCTTCAAAGTAACCTCTGGGTCACGCACAGTACAGGGCAGAACTTCCAACCCATTTGGCACACGAGAGGGGTTTGTCAAGTGACAGTAAAGCCAATTTTTTTATTCTCAGAGAAGGAATTTATCCACTAAAATGTAGGACCAAATTCGGGTTTTTTTGTTCACTGACCGGGCTGCAATCATCAACTCCCGACACTTGAGAACCCAGTTGATTCACAGGCGGCTTTACGTAGCATCGAACCCAGGACGGCAGCGGTGCCGGCTCTGCGTGGAATGTGGAATTTTCCTCCGCTAGCTCAGTGTAGACGAGGATCTCCCGGTGGTCGCGCATGTGTGTGCGCGTGTGTGCACGTGTGTGCGCGTGTGTGCGCGTGTGTGCGCGCGTGTGTGCGCATGCGCGTGCACGTGTGTGCGTGCGCGTGTCAGCGCGTGTGAGCGCGTGTGTATGCGCATGTGTGAGCGCGTGTGCGTGCGTGTGCATAAGTCCGTCCGCACTCGGGAGCACACCATCGCTCTGACTTACCGCACGTGCGCTTCTCGGTGCCATCGGTGGCCTCTCTACCAGCCCTGCCATGCATCTGCATCCTGGGGAACCGGCTCGTACGCCTGCGCACACGCACGCCTGGCGCCACGGCCATCGCACAACAAGCGCACCCCACCCCCCGCGTCAGCCTCGCCCTCCCCTCCATAAGCGCAACCCCCATCAAAGGCCGCTAGTGCAGCGGGGTCACGGAAATAACTTGCGGACAACCGTCAGCACGAGGAACGATATCAACTTTGTAGGCAACGGTTAACCGGTCATTCAACGCGGAGTGTACTTTATGCAGCACATTATTATCGCCAGTCACTACATCGATGTAATAGAGGCAAGCCATGATGACCTGTCATCCCGGTTGGAAGTTGCTGTCACTGTGGCCCACGAGGGGGAGCTGCGATGAGATTTGTTTAGATTATGGGAAACCGATTTTTATCGCAGGGGATGCTGTGGCAGTTGGCGGTGACGATTGCACTGAAGTTGCGCTGGCAGATCGCGGCCGTCAGGGTTGCGGGAGACATTCTGCACCACAAGCGGCATTCATAACGACAGCTTCCAAGGCCCAGAATTCACACAGCTGCTCCTCTGCAGGTTGGAGAAATTAACACAGTTCCCCATGCTGATAGGAATTCCACACTCTGCCACACATGGAATATCTCAGTCCTTGACATCATTGAGCGTTATAGAGATTGGACTCAAATAATGCAAAGTTACTCGAAACGTAACAATAGGAGACACTTTGCCTTCAACCCGCAAGCAGCCATTTATGTTTCTGCCCAATGAAAGTGATCAAGCACGTACGTGATTAAGGACAAAAGGCACTCCCATTTGCTAATCTTCTGAGAAATCTACCGATCCCATTCATAATCCCATTATTTCCCAAACACGAGTTTTAATGCTACGTGACATCTAGAGTTGTCGGTGACAACGACCGTTTAAAAAAATTAATACATTTCTCACGTGATATTGTACAACAGTGGAGATCCTATCGAACCTTGCTCCTGTAATAGGAATGTTGAATTCCCATCACTGGTTCGGGGCTACAGACATGAGCCCCCACCCCATTGCTTACTTGAGTAAGGAGACAACTCCTCCGACTCCGACTCGAGGCGCCACGGTGGCTACGAGATGTTAACTCCCTCGCCTGGTACACAGGAGGCCGTGGGTTCGATCCCGACCCTGATGCCTGCTGTATATTTGGAGTTTGCATGTTCTCTCTCCCCGTGGTCGCGTGGATTTTTCTCCAGGTCCTTCGGTTTTTCCCTCCACATTTGGTTGCCATAAAATTCCACGTGATAAGCCACTGCGTTGAGTTATCATTTGTGGCCAGATCGCTCCTGAAAGAGAGCTATATAGCTCAATGGGTCTTACCTGGTAAAATACAAGCATTAGTTTAGTTAAGACTCAACGAAGCTCAAGCCAACCCTAAGAGGATCAGTTCATTTCTCAGTTCGCTTGAACAAGACTTGTCAATCTGAAATTATGGATTGTCAGGTTGCTTGCTTGAAACGTTAAACATTGCACTGGACATTCAATTAACGGGTTTTTTCTTTCTTACAAATTGAGCTCACAGTACCCTGGGAGGACTCAGTAGATGAGGCTTATGAGCGAAAACATCTGCGCTATTCCGATCTAGCTGCCGAAGCACGGCATCATGGCTGGAACACAGAAGTCCGACCAGTGGAGGTGGGCTGCAGAGGTTTTGTGGCAACATCTACAACCAGACTGCTTAGAGACCTGGGAATTAAGGGCCAGAGCCAGCGTTCGGCAATCAGAACTGTATCGGAGGCGGCAGAAGGCAGCAGTCAGTGGCTTTGGATGAAGAGGAAAGACCCCAGCTGGGCCCCAAAATGAGAGGGCCAGGAGGTATGCAGTCAACAATGCTTGACTCAGGGAGGATGCCCCTGCCATGCATAGTCCCATGGGATGTTGGCTATCAACAACAAGGCGACTCCTATGACTAATTGGGAATGGGACGCAAACGTAGGATTGGTCACCCTGTCGCTGGCCGCCTTTGGGGAGGGTGTATAGTATGAAAGGCCGAAACACCCTAGGAACCAAAGGTTCACTACTGACGATGCGCTCCCCAAATTTCACCAGGTTCACTGTTCATGAACTCTTGGAAGTGCTTCCACAAAGGAGAGTAACATTTCATCCTGTGTTCTTTGGAATCCCCTCAGGTTTAACTAAATTAATTCCGTGTCCAATTAGCTTCTGCAGTTTTTTTGTACAATATGATTTAAACACTCATATTGACATCACAGGGCACGGAAATGCGAGTGGAGGCGTGTAGGGGCTTATTCATGCTGTAAGCAACCATTAGCTTGCATTGGTGCAGAGGGTATGGTTTGAGACAGCATCATTACCCATAAAAGTCCACCTGGAAGCACATTAATATTCATAAGCATTTATCTACTTATGCCTAGGAAGCAGTGCGTTGGCCACCTTTCACAAGCTTAGTTTAACAGGTAGGATTTCACGACCAATATCATGCATAAGAGGTTTTATAGGTTAGATTGTGTAAATATGTGTGTCGTTAAACCCGCCTGATGAAGTTAGTTGTAATTTCTGCCGAAACGTCGTACTCAGATTGTCAATGTTGTGGCTTGGTTCTCCAACACACCAGCGTGCTGTACTAGTGACGAATTGGCATGTTCTATTTACATGACAACCCTTACTAGTTGGCTGTGTCGGGTGGTGGCGGGGTTAACGACACATTTATATATTTACGCGATCTAACCCAAAAAACCTCTTATGGATTTCACAAGCTCATTAAAATTCATGACATGCGTTATGTCATATGCTTCGTCCTGAAAATTAATATGTCCATATTTATCATTTCCAATCATTTCCTCAGGCATCAGGAGGCAGTGTGCACGCACTGAGGAGCCAAAATACGGGAACATTATTCGGATAAAATTTTGCGTGCCACCCGTGTTCGGCTGCCTTGTTGCATCTGCCGGCCCTGTGTTTACATGGGAAATCCATCAAAAAATAGCAATATTAGATTTTACAAATACAAGAGGTCAGAGGTTACCATTGGCTGAGTTATTCTCACCGACCCCGCCCCCTCACACAGCTCCACCACGCGCCATTGGCTGAGGCGCATTTCCTGGTGCTGTCCACTGTGTGTGGTTGTGAGTCTCTCTGGCGAGTGGGGAATCAATGCCACCTCGTGGTACTTTTCTTGCCATTTCGACAACAAGGAGATGTTTTGTAAGGTTGTACGGGAAAATCCAATGAGCAAAGTGTCTGCGATCAATCAAGTGGTGGGCGTTCCTCGCCACGACTGTAACGTTATGACCCGCCCCGACTGGACATCTATGAAAAAGAGCTTTAGAGCTCACCGGATTCCTCCAGTATAAATAAATACTATGATTCCTATTCTTACTACGACAGGCTTTAACAACACTGTCTCCTCCTTTGGAGAAGCTCATTTTTAAAAAATAATTTTTAGTCATCACCTAGACAATAACCAGGCATTGATTTAATGCAAAACGAAAGAGGCAGCTCACCCCCAGACCAAAGTCAAGCAAACAAATCTATTCAAAAAAAGTTTGTCCTGCTGAAACGGATCCCTGTTCGATTGTCAGTAAAAATGCAGACATTCAATCAGTTCCGACAATAGCTGTGAATCCAGGAAATAGGCGTCTGTGTTCTGGTGGCAGAAATGATTCGCACCGTACGTAGCCAACTGTGCTTATCGAAGATGCTGAGGGACAACAAACTAAACACAAAATGCAGTTCAAAAGAAATTAGTTTTCAATCTATATTTTAAAGTGCTTAGCTCCAGTGGCTCCCTAATATCGAACGAAAGAGTGTTAAAGCGCATTTGAAAGCGCGCGATCCGGTGACGGCCTTTGTTCGATGGTTAGCCAAAAAAGGATCTGTGTTGAGAATGTGAACTTTACTTGAAAATAACTGCAGTTTTGGTAAAAGACCGAGGCTGACTGAGAAATGTGTCCACGTTAGAACTACAGTGGAAAGGGCGGCCACCCTAATTGGCGGATCATTTGGATCTGTGAAACTTCAAAACCTGCTGGGCGGGGTGAGATGGGGCAAGTAGATAACGTGAACCCATTTGCATGAAGCTTTACTTGGTATCTCCTCCTATGGTGTGGTCGCACTGGGAATGTGTGGCAAAGAATTAATGTCGAGTGTTTATAACGGTCTTAAACAGACAAGGCGATGATGGTGATTGCCGTGCGGCGAAGCGGGTGGTTGCGGTAACACCCAGCTTAAGGATACCGATGCCTCATGGTGGACAGTTTTGCAAATTTGAGAACGGAATGGCAGAAAAAACAATATTCTCTAGTAGCCACACACCACAGGCTGTGTGTAACACTGCCCTGGCAAGAGTTTTAAACTTTGTTGAGTTGAAATAAAAAAAAACTATTCCAATTCAAGTTGAAGTGCTCTCCTGCATTAGGTGACGTCACTATTATATTTTCGTGTAAGGCAACATGTTCAGGAGCTAGATGCCAATGTTGAGGTCTGCTAGCCATGATGAGAGGGCTTCAGCAGAAATTTCGCGTAGTTTCCTCCTCTTGTTGAAGGAGCGCAGACGATAGTGGATTACTGTATGGTCCATCGTTTGGGTTGTATGGCCACAATAATATTACCATGGTTTGTCATTAACTTTCCATCTATGCAGGTGATGGGCCCGTTGATGCGGTTGATGGTTACACCAGCGTCAATCAAGTGACATCTTGAAATGTGTGGCAGTGATATCACTGTGACACTACAATAAAGTGCTTGACCATGACATTAAATAAAAATGTATCAACAAAGTTGCATTTGCATGCTGGTGGGCAGCCAGGGACAATGTAGCTTGGGCAGGTATCTCCAAAAATCTGTTGTTCCCATTTTAAGTCAAACTCAAGGAACTGTATTGCGCATTGGCAGTACCATTCAATGTACAAACCAGAACTCGCTTCACAATGAACACAATCAACGCACAACCTTCTACAGCAGACGTATTGTACCACAAAGTAGCATTAATTGTCGGCTGAGACACATGTACGAGGTATGTAACATTTCTCCCTTACCAGTTTCAAAAGTGAACATATTTCAAGCGATGATTCTTTAATTGCCATTGTTGCGGCAAGTGTAGGCAACTACTGAGATGTGAATTGATGGATTCTGTTTCAACACAATGACTCATGCACAATTTAAAAAATAATTCATTATTTTACGTCACGCGCAATTTGACGCACGTGCTGTGCGGGGAAAGATTTAGCAATGTGCGGGGAAAGATTTAGCGATGTGGGTGAAGTTATGAATGTTTACACCCCTCGTTGCTTTGGGTTTTCGCGGTCGGTGCAGCGCGATCTGCGAGTGGATTTACCTGCGCGAAGGTTACGGGAGGGCGGCAGCGGAGTCACAGGCTCCTCCTCGCGTGCCTCGGCCTGCTCCAAATACACTGCACACCGCACAGAGCGCCAGGGACACGCGCACCACCCATGCTTACAGGCGCAGCGCAGTGCGCAGAGAAGTGTGCAACGTGCGCTACTCAGCACACAGCTCTTCTCTTGTAGCCACACACCTAAGCTGCGAGGCTTGAGTGGTCCCACATGTTGACATGTGGCTACATCTATGAAATGTAAAAGACTTTTAAAGTGACTTTCATCAACACTCCAGTGACTGTGGTGCATCTGCTGCATTTCTTTAACGTTGCCTAAAAGGCACCGTTTTTTAAATATTATTTAGTCTGTCCACTCCCCCCTGCCAATTTATTCAAACTGTGCAATCAGCGTCATGTCATGAGGCGAAGAATCCCTTCACAACATTTCACAAGTGAACCGGATGTGTTGTGTTTAACTGAAAGGACAGTTTGTGCTTATATCGGGTTGATCTTGTAAAAAAACCATGATTCTTCGTGCTTTGGTCTTATCGTCCGTTTTTTGTTAAAGTATCTTTCATGCTCTTTGTTAAGACATTTCAACAAGCATAACAGACGTTTAACTCTCCTGTAGAGATGTCACCAAGCATCTCTGAAATCACCCACAAGTACAACATTGTCACAAATCTGTCGAGTCTGCTGACTCCGTAACAAGACATTGTGTGGCGTCCCCCCTTCACGACTTCCACCACGTAACATCCATTTCACTTCAGGTGGAATGGTGGGTGGATAAATGATGTACCCATTCAAATTGCTGCGTGGACACACGTGCACCACTGATGCAACTGCCATGCCAGGGAATCGAACGGGCTCCATCTGGCTTGCAAGTCCAGTGGTCTAAACCATTCTCAGTGAATAAACAACACTTTACATTAAACATGCCCTCTTTATAATTTTGATAGCCAAGTTTTGAATCTCAATAGTTTGTATTCTGACACTGTATGACAACTGTTCTTGCGTTTGATGCCGATTTCGCTTGCACTTCTTCTAGGCATTAATCCCAAGTGCCACTTGCAAGTTCAAGTTCATTTATTAGGTATAGCAAGAGCCATCAGGTCAATTGGCTCTGCACTGCTGGAAGTAGCGGGTTGGGTCAGCCAGATGTGTGGTCTCATTTGGGCCAGCGTGAGGTTTATCTGGATTTTGACACGAACACGTCTTGATGGTCTTGTGATGTTCCTGTGTCTTAACTGTATACTGTAGGTTTGTGTCTATTGTCAGGCTATTTGTATTGGTCTCATCATGTCTGTCTTCTGGTTATAGTTTGGAGATGGGTTTGTGGCTCAAAGGCGCCGGGTCAGAGAGCAAGGCCGCATATCTGAAATTTTGAGTCCAGATCTGTGTTTCACAGCCGCCCACGATTAAACCGCGTTTTCTATTGTACCAACGACTGCGCACAATGCAACAAAATAACGTTTTGATTTTATTTTCACTTAATTCCACCTTTTCAAAATTCACAAGTTGCTGAGCAGAGGCCAATAGGCACACAATATCAGGTGGCCAGCAATAAACGCTACGATCAAAATTGTAATAAGAGCTGTTTCTTGAATTGACAAGGTTATAACAAATCCTTAAGAAGATAGACAAAGCGAGGGAATTTGGAGGTGGAGCAGTACGAGATAAGGCGCATAAAGAGAATCGCTGTGACTTGCCGTGCAGTAGTTGAACACAGCAGAGACAAAATATAGTCCCAGGTGAAGCTAAACAGTCCTCGAAATGGGTGGAAGAATCAAAGTTCACGGACACGGCAATCCCGGCAGCAAGAGTGAAAAGGAGGCGACTGACTTTGCTGCTGAGCCAAGGGACTGCAGGGAATCAGTGGGTGCTGGATCATCAAAAAAAATGATAAAGGAAAAAAAAGTTGTTTTTTTCATTTGATTGCGCCTGCAAATTGTTGAAGCTATCATTCTGCCGCTTGATGATTTCTGTGATGCTGCTTACAGATCAGCTACTCGTGAAAAAAATGACAGACTAAACCCACTTTATCATTCCGCTCTTCGATTTGCACTAGATGTGACCATACAGGACCCACCATTGCGACTTCTACTTAGAATCCACTTCCACATCACTTGATGCGAGAAGAAGTCTACACTGGGCCCTGTTCAGCCATAAAATCCTTAATTGGCAAATCTCCGCTATACATAGCTAATTCATGAACCCCAATGTCAAAGCCAAGAAACCTAAGACGTTCATCTAATTGTATTTTTAACTATCCTTAGACCAAGAGTTGGAATCGGTGATGGAGCCTTTGCCGTTAAAGCACAAACATTTGGGAACAACAACCCTATTTCCTCCCTTAACATCGTAAATATTACTTCACAAAATATTCCGAAGCAGAAGATTAGCACTGGGTACAACCACATTTACAAAAGTGATTAGTAACCTTGATGCTTGCCGTGTATCGATAGTTCAATTGTAATTTGCTATTTTATTGCGGTACTGCTGTGTTGTCTTGGTGTGCTTTGGGACTGTTTTTGTAAAGTTTTGCTGCCTTGCTCCGAGCTTGCATTTAGTGTTGAAAAAGCAGCAGATTTTGCCTGGTAGGATCAGGATGGTTTAGTTGTATTTGTATGTGTTTGGGTTATTTGTTTACTTTCTTGAACTGTGCACTCGTATCGTGTTGTTGTGTTGTTTGTTGCTGTAACGGTCTTACCCGCCCCTACTGGACATGTGTTAAAAGGGCTTCATAGCTCATCGGATTTCTGAAGTTCAAAATCAGTCACCCTGACAGCTTCACGTTGAATTATATCAAGTGAGTGTCAGGGAAAGATCTGGGTTGCTCCACCCCAGACACCCCCCGTATTTCTCCCCGACTGTCACCCTCACGATGTCTCGGTATAGCCTCCACCATGTCGGTTGTGTCCTCCACTCTGGCCAATATCTCCCGTGTCCCCTTGTCACCATTCCTTTGTGCGTCCTCCCTCTTCCCCACAATGGCCGTGTCAACGTGTCCCAGCCAGTATCTTCTGCACCCTGGTGGTACCAATGCGTGTCCAATGCCACGTCGAACTACATCGATCCATGTCCCCCCACAACTTTGTCACGTCACCTGTCTCCATGTCCTCCTGTCCCGCTGTCCACACGCTGTCCCCATGTGTCCCCTCCCCACATCGCCATGTCCCCCCCGGTCTTCCGTGTCTCCCAGGTCCCCTGTGTCTCCCAGGTCCCCGTGTCCCCATGCCCCCCCCCCCATGTCCCCGTGTCCCCCACGTCCCCAGGTCCCCGTGTGTCTCCGTGTCCCCATGCCCCCCCACATGTCCCCGTGTCCCCCCATATCCCCTTGTCCCCCACGTCCCCATATCCCCCACGTCCCCGTGTCCCCCCATATCCGCATGTCCCCCCATATCCGCATGTCCCCCACGTCCCCGTGTGTCTCCGTGTCCCCCCATATCCCCCATATCCCCCACGTCCCCGTGTGTCTCGGTGTCCCCATGCCCCCCCCCTCCACCATGCCCCGTGCAGGCCCCGTACCCTGCGCGCTCGCCCCGTACGAGCCCCCCGCGGCTCTGTGCGCCAGGTCGAGTCTGTTGGCCGCTCGCAGAATCCTGCGGAGGGCGCGGGGCTCCCCCTCGCCCAGGCGCCCGGCCCGGGCCAGCGCCAGCAGCGCCTCCTCGCCGCTCCAGCCGCTGCTGCCTCCCCCCGGGTTCCCCCCCCAGCAGCCGCCGCCGTCGTCGTCGTCTCCTCCTCCTCCTCGGCCGGCGGCGGCTGCGGGTCCAGCCCCGAGCTCGGCGGGGAAGCGCTCCCGCAGCGCCGCCACGTCCTGGCGGGACAGGCGGCCGCCCAGGGAGCGCAGCGAGCCCAGCGGGGAGCAGAGGCCGAGACGCCGCGCAGACGACTCCTCGGGCCACGGGGGGGTGGGCGGAGAGCAGGCGGAGGAGGTTGACGAGGCGGAGGAGGAGGAGGCCGAGGCCATCTTCTGCGAGGAGGACGCGGGTCCCGGACTTCCTCGGGGTCGTCGGGGGCCGGGCGGGGGAGGAAGCTGCTGGGGGGGAGGAGGAGGGGACGAAGAAGAGGCGATGAGGCGGTGGACGAGGAAGGAAGGAAGAGCGAGTTGATGATGAGCGAGCAGGGGGAGATGTAAGAAGATGCGACGATGCGAGCAGCGACGAGGGGGTAGGGGGGGAGATGACGTGGAGAGACGACAGCTGAGGGAGGTGCGAGGCCTGGCAAGGAGAGGCAGGATGAAGTCGGGGGAGGAGGATATCGGAAGAGAATTGGCGTTGTGGGCAGCAGGAAGGGGCGCTTGTGTCGAGTCGGCTCCGTGTGGCTACGGGTGGTGTTGTTGTTGTTGTGGCTGTTGTTGTTGTTGTCACTGCCTGTGCCAGTTACTGTGCCGCTTGTGTTGGTGTCATTGTTAGTTGTGCGGTGCTCGCTAACAGCACTTGCCCCAAAGGGATGCTACGCCTATACGGAGGATCGTCGTCTTTGTGTGTTACTGTGTGTTACTGTGTGTGTGTTACTGTGTGTGTGTGTGTGTCACTGTGTGTGTGTTACTGTGTGGTGTGTGTTACTGTGTGTATTACTGTGTGGTGTGTGTTACTGTGTGGTGTGTGTTACTGTGTGTTACTGTGTGTGTGTTACTGTGTGTGTGTGTTAGTGTGTGTGTTACTGTGTGTGTGTCACTGTGTGTGTGTGTCACTGTGTGTGTGTGTCACTGTGTGTGTGTTACTGTGTGGTGTGTGTTACTGTGTGTTACTGTGTGGTGTGTGTTACTGTGTGTGTTACTGTGTGGTGTGTGTTACTGTGTGTTACTGTGTGGTGTGTGTTACTGTGTGTGTTACTGTGTGTGTTACTGTGTGTGTGTGTTAGTGTGTGTGTTACTGTGTGTGTGTGTTAGTGTGTGTGTTACTGTGTGTGTGTTACTGTGTGGTGTGTGTGTTACTGTGTGTGTGTGTTACTGTGTGTGTGTTACTGTGTGGTGTGTGTTACTGTGTGGTGTGTGTTACTGTGTGTGTGTTACTGTGTGTGTGTTACTGTGTGTGTTACTGTGTGTGTGTTACTGTGTGTGTGTTACTGTGTGGTTTGTTAGTGTGTGGGTTGTTAGTGTGTTACTCTGTGGTGTGTGTTACTGTGTGTGTTACTGTGTGGTGTGTGTGTGTGTGTTACTGTGTGTGTGTTACTGTGTGGTGTGTTACTGTGTGGTTTGTTAGTGTGTGGGTTGTTAGTGTGTGGGTTGTTAGTGTGTTACTGTGTGTGTTACTGTGTTACTGTGTGTGTGTTACTGTGTGTGTGTTACTGTGGTGTGTGTGTTACTGTGTGGTGTGGCGTGTGTGTGTTACTGTGTGGTGTGTGTTGAGTTACTGTGGTGTGTTTGTGGTGTGTCGTCTAAGATGTGCAGTATATTGTTAGTAGTCCAGTCTGCGAAGATCGTGTCGAGTACTTGTGTAGTGTGATGTCACGTAGCTACTGTCGTATGTGAAGTGTATTCTTGTGTGATACTCTGCAGTGTGTCCAGGTATGAGTGGTATCGTCTTGCAGTGTCTGCTGTGCTATGTCGTGTGGTGGCTGCCAGGATACTTAGCTGTGTTTGGGGTGTAGTATATATGTATGAATAGTTTGTAAGTGCAAACAGTTGTTATTCTAAGCATGTGCGTGCAGCATTTACTGCGTATACCGCACGTGTGCACCCAATGTGTTTGCACGCGGTGGTTTATTTACCGAAATATAACTGCGGGGTCCAATACATTGGGGACGTTAAAGACCCCGCGACGTCATTGCTGTGGCGGCTGCCAGAATAAATTCCCAAAAGAATGTTGTTTGTGTCAAAATGTCTCAAATGCCACCGCAAATTACTCAATTGCTGGCCCACAAATGTCCCAGGTAACCCTGACAAAAGGGGAGACCTTACTCGCCTCGTGAAGTATCCTCACCTGGTTCAACAAAAACAACTCGAAAACTTACTCTCAATGCGGTGTGCGTCGTACGTTCATGCGAATGTACACAAGTGCATGTCACGTATTTGGTATGTGTGTGTATAGTATTTAGAATTCAATTAACGTAGAGGCTGTACTGTACAATCTGTGCATTTTATGTGCATAGTTTGTGTAATGGCGTTCTTAGTTTACAGTGTGGGTAATATACACTGTAATATAGATTGTTGAATGCCTCGTGTGTGCAGTGTATTATACGTATAGTGTACTGTGTGTGTAGTATGAGAGTAATGTAAGATCCTAAATATTCGGAAGATATCGTGTAGTAAGTGCACGGATGTGTGTATTATAGAATGTATGGAGGCATGCCTTGTGTGCACGATGAGTGTATTAAGAGTGTGATGTGAATTGTATAGAGTGCACCTGTGTAGTACGTACGGCCTGTGTGTAATAGATTTGTGTACATGTAGAATACCTCCTGCGTGTGTAGTGTATATAATGTACAGTGGGGTGATTGTGTATGGTGTACAGTGCGTGGTGCTTGAGTGTTGTGTGTGTATAGTGTCGACTAGATTACCTCGTGTGATTGAAGGTCCGTGGTGTATTTAGTGTGTAATGTGGACTACCTCGTGTGATTGAGGGCGAGTGGAGTGTATTGTGTGCAGTGTTTGAGTAGTGCGTGTAGTATAGACGGCGAGTGCGCGGGGTGAGTGTGATGAGGGCGAGTGTGGTGGGCGAGTGTGGTGGGTGAGTGTGGTGGGCGAGTGTGGTGGGTGAGGGTGAGTGTGGTGGGTGAAGGTGAGTGTGGGCGAGTGTGGTGAGTGAGGGTGAATGTGGTGAGTGAGGGTGAATGTGGTGGGTGAGGGTGAGTGTGGGCGAGTGTGGTAGATCAGGGTGAGTGTGGTGGGTGAGGGTGGGTGAGGGCGAGTGTGCTAAGGGTGGGTCAGGGTGGTGGGTGAGTGTGATGAGGGTGGGTGTGCTAAGGGTGAGTGGAGTGTGGTGGGTGAGGGTGAGTGTGCTAAGGGTGAGTGAGTGTGGGTGAGTGTGGCGAGTGAGAGTGGTGGGTGAGGGTGAGTGTGCTAAGGCTGAGTGGAGTGTGGTGGGTGAGGGTGAGTGTGCTAAGGGTGAGTGAGTGTGGTGGGTGAGTGTGCTAAGGGTGAGTGAGTGTGGGTGAGTGTGGCGAGTGAGAGGGGTGGGTGAGGGTGTGTGCTAAGGGTGAGTGGAGTGTGGTGGATGAGGGTGAGTGTGCTAAGGGTGAGTGAGTGTGGCGAGTGAGAGTGGTGGGTGAGGGTGTGTGCTAAGGGTGAGTGGAGTGTGGTGGGTGAGGGTGAGTGTGCTAAGGGTGAGTGAGTGAGTGAGTGTGATGAGGATGAGTGTGGCGAGTGAGAGTGGTGGGTGAGGGTGTGTGCTAAGGGTGAGTGGAGTGTGGTGGGTGAGGGTGAGTGTGCTAAGGGTGAGTGAGTGTGGCGAGTGAGAGTGGTGGGTGAGGGTGTGTGCTAAGGGTGAGTGGAGTGTGGTGGGTGAGGGTGAGTGTGCTAAGGGTGAGTGAGTGTGGGTGAGTGTGATGAGGATGAGTGTGGCGAGTGAGAGTGGTGGGTGAGGGTGTGTGCTAAGGGTGAGGGTGCTAAGTGTGAGTGTGGTGGGTGATGAGTGGTGGGTGAGGGCGAGTGTGGTGAGTGTGCTCAGGGTGAGTGTGGTGGATGAGGGTGGACACGCGAGCTCGCTCTCGGCTGTTTACTCGGCACGTGCCGGCGCTTCCGCTCGCCCCGTGACGTCACTGCCGGTTATTTAATCGTGACGTCACGCGTCGCTCCCAATATTATTTCGTGTGGGTGACGTCACAGCTCTCATCCGGGCTCTCGCGGCGAGGATTTTGAACGTCACATCCGGGTGACGTCAGCGAATGGTTGCCGATGCGTGACGTCACTGCCGCCCCTTGGCGACGCCGTCGCTGGCCTGCCTCCGGCGTGAGTGACGTCATCAATACGCGCGCACTCGTAGTCACGTGACTCGCTGACGCGTGACGTCACTGGCCTGCCTCCGGCGTGAGTGACGTCATCGGGACGCGCGCACTCGTAGTCGCGGCTCGCGCACAGTTTGACCTCGAGCAGCCAGCCCCACGTGACCCCGAGCAGCCCCACGTGACCCCGAGCAGCGCCACGTGACCCCGAGCAGTCCCACGTGACCCCGAGCAGCGCCACGTGACCCCGAGCAGCCACGACGTGACCCCGAGCAGTCCCACGTGACCCCGAGCAGCCCCACGTGACCCCGAGGAGCCACGCCGTGACCCCGGCGGACATGGCGGTGGCGTGGAGCTGCGCGTCGCGGCTGCTGCGCGAAGCCTCGCGCCTCCTCCAGCTCCAGCTCCAGCCCGCGTGAGACGCGGCGCGGACGGGCGGGACAGCAGCAGCAGGAGGCGGCCCGCACGGCCCTCTGGCCAGGGGCACAGCGGGGTCCAGAACGTACCGTATCTAGGATCAGACCCGCGGGTTCCGACAGCCCTGGATCTAGAACAGCCGGGTTCGGGTCATCGCTGGGCTCAGAACTGGGCTCGGGTCAGGCCTGTCCTGTGCAGTACCCTTGTGCAGCTACTATTAAAGTTATTTCTGATCACACGGAGCTGGGCGTTACACAGTTCTGCTGCCAATGCGCGTGTTGTCTTAACGTGGCCGCTGTTGCCGATAGAGATGCGAGTCGTGTTGTTATTCAAGGCACCGAGTCTGGGCGTTGATTATTCTCATCCACACATCAGTCCATGATTATCGGTGATGCAGTGAAGTCACCTGACAGATTCATAATAATGCAGTTATTGGGGCACAGAAAATAGAGCGGGAGAATTGTTAGAGCTTGGGGCGGTGCTCACGTTAATTGGCAGCCCTGAGCTAATACGATATAATTCCACATTCCTATGGCGGGGGCAAATACTGGATGGCTGTTTGACACCATTACCCGTGTGCGTGCGTGTGAACTCTGTCCCGCCAGGCCTGGCTGTGCCACGCTGCACACAGCAGAGCAGCGGCCCGGCCTCCTGGCGTTGGTCAGCGCGGCCCTTCCGATGCGGTGAGTCACTGAACAGCTCGTCTAGAGCAAACTAACATCATGACCACAATCACCACATGCATATACACACACCCAGAGGAGGAACTAACTCGAAAGCTCAAGGTGGGGCGACTTTGACTGTTCACAGTGCTGAACGCATTGCCGGCTACGTACACATTTGCCCCCTACCCAGTTTTCTTCCAGACTGTTCATGTTGTGATGTCATGGGGCAACGAATCCATTCCGATCACTCGGAGCACAGAACACAGCCCTTTGTGTTCGAGAACCAGCCCACGGAAGCGGATTTCATAGAGCTACCTCTTGAGGTCCCTTCAAGTGACATCTGTGATCCACACCACAAAGCGGCACCACTCGCCCACCCACCCTGCTGCAGAGTTACGTTCATTGCATGATGGTCGAACTGATATTTTTACTTCTCAGAGTTTTGGAATTTTGTCAATTTAAGTGCAGAACCAAATTTAATTGGATGCTTTTTGTGCAGTCATTGGTACCAGACTGAGATCGTCAACTTCACTCAACTTGACAACCTAGTTTTATTCACAGACAGTTGGCTTGATATGAACCCACGACCTCACTGGTATCAGCTGAGCGCAGAACCTCTGAGCCGCCCAGTCACCCCGTTTGCCAGCTGTTCCTGATGCCGTGGCACTCGCTGTGCCGTCTGCCACGTGAGGGCAAAGTCTGTTGCCAGTTAAGGGCCCCTCGCCGCATCGTGATGATAAAAAAAATTGTTGAACAACATTTTACCTTTCGCCCTAATCTCAGAAGTTAAGCAGGGTTTCAGCCTGGTTTAGTGTTTGGAAAAGAGACTTCCCCTAACACCGCCTGTTGTAGATACGGCGGTGCGGGATGGCCAGGAGATGGCAGCACTGCGTTTGTGTTGCAAATACAGATTGTGCAGATGTTTAAAGGCATTGGGTAGCTCTGTGTATGGTAGGTTATATACACTGACTAGAAACTCTCACTGATGGTGTTGCGAGGCATGTGGTCAAATAACCTCTGAGAATGAATGACAATGCACAGGGAGGCTGTCATGCCAGGGGAATGAAGGGGCGTTGTTGCAGTTATTTGCTCGATACAGGGAGATGATCGCTGCTATGAAACTTCACGGTAAGGGCGAGGCAAAGCGTCTGCCTGCTCAAACGAACAATTGGGCGGTGTTTATCATCAATGTTGGACGTGAGTGGTGGAAATTCCACTTCCCATGGTCACTGGACATCATCTGTAATAAATTCACTGCTAGATGGTAAAAGATTGCTGTTTGAGAATTTACTTAAATTCAGTATATTCAGCCATAAAATGTGTACCTGGTGCGATGTGTAAAGTCACGGTCGTGGTGCTGGCCACCCCACCCTTCATGGGCCGGGAAGCTAAAACACAGCAAGTTGGCGCAGCAGGGGGCACAGGTGGTGCATCTGCCAGTCAACCCATGGCATCCGAGTCTGTCCCGTGACCTCCTGCCAGCGGGTGTTTGACACGTCACCAGGCCTTAAAATGCACATAGCCTGGCACAAGTACCGTGAGGTCACCCCCACTCAGTGTGAATGGCGGTTGTTGTTGCTGTCCACGTGTATGTCTGTGTGTCCATGTTTGCGTCTGTGCAGGGCAGAACCAAAGAAGAAGAAGAAAGCTGACCCGAGACGAGAGCAGCTGGTCAAGGAGCGACTCAAAAAGAAGCTGAAGCGCATGGAGAAGGTCCCAGCCGAGCTGATCCCTGTGATGGACTTTGTAACCCCGAGCAAGTACCTGGACGAGACGAGGTGCTTCCCGTGTGCAAACTGTAGAGTGTGTACGGCGTGTCAACGACGCGTAAAGGATGTCCGACGGCCTCACATTGAATCCGTTTCCAGTGAACGTTTTTGCTTTGAATAGGTGCGGTTTGAGTAAAATGTTTCAAGTGGTGAGTGCTGATTAAGTGTGGGGAGTACTGATGTGGCATGATTGCACGATTGGGAACATGCAACCCAAACTATGGACCATGTATTAAACCACTATAGTCTGCGCTGCTTCAACATGAAAAAAAAGAGCAAAATGACGCAAACTCACTCTGCCGTAGCCCTCTCGTAGTGGCCAGCAGCAGATCGCAACACTGGCATCTGGCTCGTGAAGAACATTGCTTCCATATGCAAGAATATAATAATATTGATTTGAATGCCAATGGTGAGTTATAATGGTGAGTGGTTTGGTGAGTGGTGGTGAGTGCTAATGGTAATCAGTGTGGTAAGTGGTGGTGAGCGCTCATGGTGAGCGGTATGTGGTGAGTGCTAACGGAGAGTGGTGTGTGGCGAGCGGTGGTAAGTGCTAATGGTAAGCGGTGTGGTGAGTGCGAATGGTAGGCGATATGTGGCGAGTGCTAACGGAGAGTGGTGTGTGGCGAGCGGTGGTGAGTGCTAACGGTGAGTGTTGTGTGGTGGCGAGCGCGAATGGTCAGCGGTATGTGGCGAGCGCTAAAGGCGAATCGGTGTGCGCGCTGCAGGCGGCGAGAGAATCCGAGCCTGAGCCCCGAGGAGACGGAGCGCCGGGCGCTGCTGGGGAAGGCGTGGTCACGCTACAAAGCGGCGCAGCACCGCGCCGAGATGGCACAAATCGCGCGCGTGCGCGAGAGTCAGCGGCGCGCGCTGCTCGAGCTGCAGCTCGAGTCGCCGCGGCTGTACGAAGCAGCGGTGGCGCGTGACCCTGCGCTCTTCCCCCTGCACCGAGATGGGCCCACGTACACCCCCGCCATCCCCGCGTACATGGCGCCCGACGGGAAATACGTGGACACCACGCCGCGTTACGTGCAGATGTGAACCCCCGCCACCAGCACAGTCGCGTACCTGGAGGCTGGCGGGTGATGCCACCCCCCCTCCCCCCCCTACACTGTGAGCGGCACACGCACGCATTACCATTAGAGGTTTTTTTGGGTTAAATGGCGTAGATATAACTGTCATTAAACCCGCCGCTACCCGACAGCCAATTAGTAAGGTTTGTCACGTAAACAAAACCTGCCAATTAGTTACTAGTTCAGCACACCGGTGTGTTGGAAAGTAAAGCCACAACATTTACAATTCGAGTACGACGTTTTGCTGGTAATTACAACCAGCCTCATCAGATGTGTTAAAACTCATTACCATGTGCTGGTGCAATTCTCTTGTTTTAAATATATTGTTGTGTATGTATTCGGAGACTCGTGCGTCTTATTTTTGAAGTTAATATTTGTAGACATGCATATTTAATTCACTACTATTGGCGTAATGATACATCGAGCAATATAAAATACTCAACACGTTCGTCAACAACACTGCCATCAAAGGAAATATACAACCAGTGACGTTTTGATAAATGGCCCTTTCACAGCACGTTCCGTGGAGACAGGCTGTCACAAATTACATATTCAACACGGTCACAGGTGTAGACTAAAGAGTCCCAGATCCGCCTGATAAATGTATTTTATTTAAATAGTTTTCTTTCCAATAGTTTGAAAATTGTGAAATGACCACAACATGGGTGACACGATTTGATAGATAACTATCAAGGAGGTAATAGGCGCGGTGTAACATGGCAGATGCGGATACCTGATGCACAAATAGAAAATTATCCCAGTGTGCAACCGTGGTCATCCAGAACAGGCGATACAACATATAACGGCGCAATGCCCGATTCACAAATAAGGCACCACAGTGATGCAGTCTGCTGCTCCTGACGCGGTTATCTGGCTTGACTATCTGAATGTGAAATTGTAGTTGCTCTGCATCTACATCAGTCATATGAAAGAAAAGTCACATTGATTAAAAGGTTATTGCCCTCAAGTCGAGTCTATGGGTCTCTGCGAGCCTATCGGTTTTTAAAGAACCATTTGAATAACACAGCTAAAACCCACAATCTCAGAAGTTCCAGCTCAGTGTCTCTGACACGGCTATTATGAAAACAATTAAAGATGTCCAGACCTATGGCTTGAACCCAGGATCTCAGCATTATCCCTGGCCTCCGAGCAACTTTAAACTTGTCCGCAATAGTTGGCCTGTGGCTACATTTGCAGTACCAAATGTAGGACTGCCCACACTTGATTATCTGCCTTCATTGCCTTAAATCAACAGCAATGTATTACCTTGGCAGGCCCCACCTCCTTCCACTTTAGGTCCCTGCTCCTGAGACCCCGTCTCTTCCTGAGCAGGTTCCAGTCCTTTAATTCTGCGCCTTTTCCTGTTTAGGCACCACCCCTTTCCTCTAGACATGGGGTTTGGCATTGGGGCGGGGAGTGTGCATGCAAAGCAGTAGGCAGTGGTGGCTGGCGCCAATAGGAGTGACTGCACGACAATCAAAATCCCTTGGATCAATAAAATAATCACCACAAACAGGACTGATGCTTGTAGAATCTTTATTTTCTCACTAGGAGGTCCGATTTGTAATATCGGTGAAGCCAGAGGATTAGAGAAGAGGCCAAGAAACCACCACCTCAACCATCTCCACTACCACCATGAGATCAACCACAACTTGACTGTCAACAAGCACCACACATCCTCAACCATGCTCACAACCACTTCAACCACCATTAACTCAACCATCACCAATTCTATCAACCAAGGGTACCATATCTTCAAAGCAGTATAGGCTATTATCGTTTGCAAGTGTCAGCAGTAATAGGAGGACTTATCACCATCACACACCGGCTGTCCTCATGAAGCAACTACAGATTGAGAGAGACACGGCTCGGTGTGAGTGAGCAGGTGGGCGAGCGCTTGTGTGTGTGTGTACGAGTGGGTGGGCGGAGTGTGTAGGTAAATGAATGAGTGTCATACTCTTAGGTTTTTTCGGTAAAGTAACGTAGGTAAAAAATAATAAATTAAAATAACTAAATTAAATCACGACGTTTCGGAAGCAACACAAGCCTCCGTCATCAGGTGTAACTGCTCCAGTAAAATTACTGTAGCGTGGAATTTTTACTGGAGCAGTTAGACCTGATGATGAAGGCTTGTGTTGCTTCCGAAACGTGATTTAATTTAGTTATTTTCATTTATTTTTATTTTTTTACCAACGTAACTTTACCGAAAAAACCTAAGAGTATGAATCCTTGCAGTCACGAAAGCTTCAAATCTAGAATGAATGAGTGTCGTATGCGAGGGTGAGTGAGCGAGTGTGTTTATGAATGAATGGTTTAGTGGGGGGGGGGGGGGGGTGTGAGAGTGGGAGAGCACCTAGCTGCAGTCTCCCAGAGTGAGTCTCCCAAAGAGGTACTCGCCCAAGCCAGACTGAGGAACGCCCAGGCGCTTCAGATTGGTGACGTGGTCACCCAACTTCTTGATAGACTCCACCTGCTCGTCCAGGAAGTCCTTCAGGAAGTCGCACAGCTGAGACATTGTGAGGGGAGAGAAGAGGTGGAGGGGAGAGAGGAGGTGGAGAGGACATGTGGTGGTGGAGAAAAGGTGAGAGGAATTGGTGAGGGGGTGATAGGAGAAAGGGAGGAAGAGAGTGGATAGTTAAACAAGTGAAGACTTCATAATAAAGGTTTTTGGGTTAGATCGCGTAAGTATAAATGTGTCGTAACCCTCCACCACTCGACACAGCCAGTAAGGTTTGTCACATAAACAACGCGCCAATTAGTTACTACTTCAGCCCACCGGTGTGTTGGAGAGTAAATACACAACATATACAATTTGAATACGACGTTTCGCTGGTAATTACATCCAGCATCATCGGGCGATTTACCGGAATAGTGAAACAATCCACCTGCTTCCAGTCTTAAAAAGAGCAATATCATGTTTAGAGATCAGAGGCCAAGGGAGGGGGGGTTCATGAAGCTATATATATAGACACAGACACAATTTCAACCAAGAAGATGGGTACAAACTGAGAAATCATTGGAAGGACCTTATCAACCAGTTTAAGTCATAATGGGCTATGATGTTCCCATCCTACCACCTTCGCGCGCGGACCCCTTGGTCGCGGCTCTGCAATCTGCCATTAACATGCTAATCGCTCTTTAACATGCTCATTTTCACCTGGCAGCCCTTTGATTGGTGGAAAACGAACCACCGAAAACGTACATTATCATTGGCTGCTGACATTCGGGCTACGCCCATTTCAAACCCTTACAAACAGTTTCCCTTGGAAGCTAACCCCCCCTTTCCTGAAGACGACTGCTTGTGTTGCGATCGAAACGTAGTTCTGTTAATTTTTATTATTTTCTTTGAACCTATCTACGTGACTTTACCGAAAGACCCAAGAATATGAGGGGTGGGGAGTATTGCAATTATATAATGGATTAGTAATCAGTGAATTAGCATGTGTTTCCTCTATAAGGAATGCAGTTATAAGATGTATTACTTCATAATACGCTTCCAGGCCGCACTAAGCCGAAAGCTGTCAGAGTGGTAAAATTTTTTGTATTTCTCTCAATTTCAATGAATTCCCGAAATAGTCTCGGCCAGTAATACTTCATTAGTTTTATACAACACTTCAACGTTATCAAAATCAATTGAGTGTCCTTCATATAAATTCCCAACTAATAACGAACAATTTAAAATAAAACTCTAATTAACTTAACTAACACTTATTTAACCAGCGACATGCTATTGGTCCTCTTTAAAGGTCTTAACTTTGCAGTTGCCCCACGTACAATTCCAGTAGATGAGATAATTGCTGAGGTGGAATCAGCGGTACGACACCTTCCACAAAATGAGGCAGAGATTATTAGGCGCGAGGTTGACAACATAATTGAGAATAGATCTCACCCAAAAACCTTTATACAGTACCTACTATAATCACCCAGGCATGTCTGTCGTTAATGCTCGTGACGTCACTCCACATCGACCAGCCCCCCTCATTAATATTCATGAGCAGGTGACGTCCTCTAAATGGACACCCCCCCCCCCCCCCCCATTATTATTACCAACTATAATGAGCCAAGAATATATGTGCAACATTCGTGACGTCACTCCACATCGACCAGCCCCTCTCATTAATAATCATGAACAGGTTACGTCCTCCACATGGACCCCCTCTCATTAATAATCATAAGTAGGTGACATCACTCCACATGGAGCACCCTCCCCCCTCATTAATAATCATGAGCAGGTGACGTCACTCCACATCGAACAGTCCCCATCATTCATAATCATTAACAGGTGACGTCCTCCAAATGGACCCCCCCCCCCCCCCATTCATAATAATTAGCAGCTAACGTCACTCCACATGGGGGGCCTAGGTGCCTCCTCCCCCCTCCTCGGCGTCAAATTGCAACCCTCACTACAAAGGCAGAACCCTCACATCACGCGATATCCACAACGCTATTGAGACATCAAAGTAAAAAGGACGTCATAATGAACAAGGGATTATAACCTTAAAATAAAATAGGTCTGTGTAACCGCGCCCTTACAAATTGCACACGAATTGATGCAATGAATATCACGTCGCGGTCTGCTTTTCGCTTGCAAGTTTCAGATTTACTACAATACACCCTTCCTTGGACGGGCAAAAGGCTAGTTATAAATAATATTGGTCGCGAAAGCCTACGTGTTAAAGTGACGACTTGTGGTGAAAATTCACCAGTATCTGTACAAGTCGAGACTCATCTCGAGGCATGCATCTGTGTGCATCTGTGTGCATGTCCGAGCATTGTCTGTGTGTCTCCGTGTTGGAGTCTCCAAGTCTTGTCTATGTGTGCGATTCTGTGCACTCACCTGTGGGTCATTCTTCTCGCGACCCTGCCCATGTACATCCAGGAGAGATTGGTTGATGCTCTTCTGCAGCTGCAGAGCAGTCTCCATGGCCTCCAAAATATGTCCCCACTCATCAAGCTCCGACTTCTACACAGAGATATACAAGAGGTATATGAAGACAGAGATACACGGATACACACACAGATATCTAGTTACTCAGATACACGCAACAACCGCCATTCACCACTAAGTGGCGGTGATGTCACCACGGCGCTTGTGCCAGGCTATGTGCACGGTGAGGCCACGTGAAGTGTCGAACGCCTGCTGGCAGGTGCCACGGGTAGACTGATTGAGATGACTGACCGATGCACCACCTGTGCCCCCTATTGTGCCAACTTGCTGTGCTTTAGCCACTCGGCGCTCCACTCGTTGTGAGCGTCACTCCTCTGCCCTCCGTTGTTGCTGGAGGGCGACTGCCTCCAACTGCCCAGTAGCGTCCTTCAGGAGCCTCCTCCACAGAGGCCGATCTTGACACTGCTGGTACCAGTCATGGGAAAGTCCACTCAGCTCCGCGTCCGCCTGTACCACATCACTCCATCTCTTCTCTAGCCCGTGCCACACCCATTGAGCCCCCTCTATCCGGCCGAATAAAAGCTGTTTAGGCATGCGGTGGCTGGGCATACGGGCTACATGACCCAGCCTAGCACCTATGACAGGAGGTCATAGAAGGCGTCTGACTCATCGGCCTTGCCTGCATCCCTCCACGGATGTTCATCTTCGGTTGGGGCATAAGTAACTACGACCACCACTTCTCACCTCTGGTTGATGGGAAGGCGAGCCCAAAGTAGCCTGGGGCTTACAGCTTCTCACACCTCACCGCCATGCTCCCACGCCCCCTTCATTATTTTGTTCATAAGAGACACTCCCTGTTATTTGGCATTCTCCTGCCCCGAGTAGAGTACTGTCCACCGGACCTCCTGAATACCACGAGATCCAGGCGGTACCGGTCCAGCTCGGAACAGAGGAGTGGCAACCTCTCCTCTGTAGTGAGCATTCGAACATTCCACGTGGCCACCCGCAGTGGTTTTTTTCCGTTTCTGGAGAAACCCCGAAGATAAGGATTCAGTCCCCTGGCTCTGCCAAATGGGGTTTGTCCAGGAGACGTCATAAACGCCTATCCCCCCGGGGCCCCTGGCACAAGCTTTTTAAGATATTTTTTTACGTGGTATCGAAGGTGGAGGGGTTACCAGCCCCTCGTACCCATCCAGAGCCCCCATTTGGCCGCTGTGGTGGCTATAAATGCCATGAGGGGAATGGCCAATCTAAATTGGCTCTCCCCCCATGGCACTACTCACCACAGCGTTGCCATCCAGCACCAACGAGGAGGTAGGGGGTTGTTTTGCCAGACACAAAGTCACACACTCACAGGTACACATACACCGATGGAGAGATACGCAGAACATTTACACTGGAGCGACTTTTAAAAATGTTAATATCCCTGCCACATTTTGTGAGGGTTCCTCTTTTTTATTAATATAGAAGAGGATTTAGGATCCATTTTCTCTCCCATGCCATTCTCTCAATATTATAGGGCACCAATGCGGACTTTTAAACGTACTTAAACGGCCACAAAAAGAGGGACAATAACGCGATCAGGAATACAGAGAATCTTATGATTTTGAATTTATTAACGATGCCTTGATTCGTTATACGCTATTGAAACATTTTGCACAAGGATACGAATCAACTGTGGCAGATAATTATTTCCTAACAACCAAATACAGTCATACCTCGGTATACAACTGCTTTGGAATACGTCGAATTTGGTATATGTCGTGTATTGACGAGAGAAAAAAGTCTTGGGATACGACGTCTTGCTTGGGATACGACGCACTTGCTAGAACTTGGATGAGTCACCGCGTACATTACCCGCGTACACAATACTGTTACGGCTCTAACAAGCCATAACAGTATTGTGTGGAATGACCAGACAATGTCACACTTCAGGAACACTCTTAGAAGAAGGCAAAAACAAACTTCAATGGACAGGTTTTTTGTAAAACTCAAATCTGGTGAGCCTCAACCAGGTCCAAGTCAAAAAATAGAAGGAGAAAAAAACCCCGAATTTCAGCTTCCCGAAGTTTTAATGGCAGGGGACTCTCCTTCCAAAAAATAGCATATCCTCCTCCTCGTAGGCTATCAACTCCTCTCAGCAAGGTAAAGTGACGTCACATTTTATTTGTATTTCCATTTATTTTAATTTATGCATTTATTTGAATGTATGTATGCATTTTAGTAATAAGTAGTGTCTAAATTATTTTTTATACAATCCCATTAATGTATAATATGCCATATAAAATATCAATTCTTATACTCTGGAACGGATTATTTCCTTTCCCTTTATTTATTATGGGAAAAATTCGTTTGGTATACGTCATTTTCGGTATAAGTCCTACCTTCTGGAACGAACTAACGACGTATACCGAGGTACCACTGTACAACTGACTCTTCAAAACTCTCGGCAACAGCAGCAGCCTTAACACAGCGCAGCCCATGTGTTGAGAATCACAAAACACTGTGGCGACAAAACAAATACAGAAGAACGCGACGACCGTTCGTACCAACCCTCATGCATACTCCACTCGTGGGCAATGAGACAACACAGCACACGTCCAAGGTACGTAACATCAATCTCAGGACTTGGTTGGGGACATCAACAGCGCTCTAAATAGCTCAACACAGCTGGAGTCTCGGGTTTTGGTTGGCTCCATCAATAGCGCTCCGAACAAATCAAAAGCAACTGCAGTATCGGGAATGGTTGGCACCATCAACAGCACTGTGAACAACTTAAAGCAGCTGCAATCTTGGTCACTGAGCCGCTGGTCTTCTCCAAGAGTCTCCTTGGTTGTGGTGAACATCGACCATCCGTCCTTCCTCAGGCGAATGCCGACCACCCCGGCAAATGCCGACCGCTCCAGGCGAACGCTGCACACACCTCTGCCCCCCTTACACCTCTTTCTCTCTGCCCTCCCTAGCAGTCAATCAGCTGCCTGTTGCTTGGTGAAATTACTCCATCTCTCGTTCCTCAGCCCCTGTCAATCAACTTGGTTCGTGCAGCGTCTTCCAATCAGAACCTCGTTACTTCGTTATATTAAACCAAATTTTTGTTGACCACACTTGCTACAAATCACGCATAGCCCTGTAGACTATCCCTTCACCTCACGCCAACTGGCCTGCCTTGACCGGCCAATTTGTGTCCCACCCCCAGTCAAGGCCAGACTGAGTGGCGCCGTTGTTTTCGGAGGTGGGGGATTTTGGGGGATTTTCCCCCATAAACGCTCACCCCCCGTACCTCATGTAACCACGGCCACCTCGGTTCACGATGGCATGACAGCGCTCATCCACACCGTTTCACATTTCTCGGGAAGATCATAATGGCCATGTTAGCCAAGGAACCGGAGATCCTGGGTTCAAACCCTGGGTGTCTCTCAAGAGGAGGTTTATTATAGCCATCCCTCTCTCGAGGTTAATGGCAGTGTTGGGTTCCTAACATTTATTTAGCGAATGCTTTTACACATGACATTCACACAGTAGCAAATGCAGAAGAAAAAATATGTATAAAATAAATGCATATACAGTATGTCAATGTGACAGCCTCCTTCTGGCAGCCTCCTCCTCCACCCAGCATGCCCTGATGGACTTTACAGATAGGGACGATGTGCGCCATGGTCTCCTGCTCCCCGCATTCTCAGAGCGTGCTGTCAAGTAGTATGCCCCCTCGATGTTTGGAAGTGACACACACCCCCTAGTCAGACTGGAAGCGGTTCAACTGAACCCACTGATGACTTGGGAGATCGAAGTCAGGCACCTGGACAGACGGATCACTGATGAGGTTTTTGTTAGGCACATCGAAGCATCTCCATTCCTCGCCCCAGGCAGTGCGGGTATCCTGCATACTCAAGTCTTTGGGCTGTGGTAATGACCACTCTCGGTGTTGAGACTTCAGATTCATGGGTGGAGGCTTGGAGATATTGATGAAAGGGCAACTCTGGTGCTGTATGTACCTTGTCCAACATCTTGGCCACTGCAGTTTGGCAGCAGTTTTTTGGTGGGAGGGTGTTGCAGCATACTGGCAGTCACATTAGTGGGGTTGTCCTGATGGCACCGGAGATGGTTCTCATTCAGACATTCAGCTGAGTGTCCACCAATTTGGTGTGTATTCTGCTACAAAAAAGCACAAATAGAGGCCTATCATACGAAATGACTGAGCACCAGCGCCCCACGTTAAGCCAGCCAGGCCAACTGATGGTTCCGCGAGCGCAACTTGCCCAGCCGTCTTGTCAAGTTATGGACGGTACGTCAAACTTCTATCCAACGTCACTCCAAGGAACACCGGCTTTGGGCCATGTTTTAAGAACTGGCCATTCAGGTGTACTTTGAGCTTATAAGTGGCTCTGGCACTGAGCATGTGAAACACACTGCAAATGGTCTTGCTTGTACTTGGCTGGAGTAATCATGTGCTGTAGTCGTCTGCTACCATTGCCAGGTCATTGTTTGAGAAGCTCGACAGTGTTCACTTATGAGCACGGCACCGCCGGACTCGTAACAGCTTTAGCAGAAGTTGACTGTGCTAGACGGCATCATACGGTACTGTGAGGTCCAGGAACACTGCACTTGTTTTGAGACGTCGCTGGAAGCCATTCTCAACAAACATAAATGCCAGGGCCTGGTCAGAAGTGCTTTGGCCATGGCGAAAACCAGCCTGGTCAACGCTCAAGATGTTGTTGACAGTAGGGGAGATGCGTTCTAGCACAAATCCAATCAAGAGTCCCATCAAGACTCTGATGGGATCGGGCGGACCCAGCGCCTCCTCTCAAAGCGCCATTGTCTTTTGCCTCACCTCGGTAGGGCCCAGAAGTAGGAGTTGGTATGTCTCAGATAATGTATAGTGGGCCCTATCCTCCATCAGCCATACCCATACCGGGGAGAGGATATTTAGGTCAACATCCCCTGCCTTTATAATTGTTTTTTTACCGTTTTATCTGGCAACAAAACTGACACCTTTTTTACAAGGAGTCATGTTTGCATTGATCACAATACCTGCGGTCGGAATGCAAACAAAAAACACAACTCTGATAATGTATGCACTGTCCTTGAAATGGATTGGTCCACACCCGAGACAGCTTTTCTTAGAGCCTAGTCTCACATGGTGTTGGACCAGATGAGCCCAGGGGAGGGGAGTTCTGTTTGAAGAGGTCCGCTAGGTTAGAAGTGCTATTCACCCTGAGGTGCTTGATTTGGGAGAGGCACCAACTGGAGGGGGAGACATTGGGCAGAGGTCTTCCCGAAGGTCGGGGTCAGAATCATGATTTCTGACATTGTGACACTGAGTTTATAGCCTGAGACTGCACCGTACTCCGCAATAAGCTTCAGGAGGGCAGGTATTGAGGTGTCCAGTTTGTGTTTGTAAGCAGAACATTATCCGGCGTATAAATTTATGTTATTTTCAACTTGCCCATAGTGTATACCTAATGTCTCCTGGATACTTCATATTCTGGGTGCCAGAGGCTCAAATGCAATTACAAAGAGAAGGGGGGATGAGGGCATCCCTGTCTCATGTCTCTATTGAGGGGGAACCTCTCTGAGACAAAGCCATTAGGAGTAACTGTCGCAGTCGAATGAGCATAAAGGAGCTTGCACATTTTGCTGAACTGTGGGGGGGGGGGGAGGCTCACCTCTGCATGGTACCAAAAAGAAACCCCCATTCTACCCGATGGAAAGCCTTGTCCCCGCCTAGTGCAATGGCGTATATTTTTGTGCTTGACCTGGAGGCAATATCAACCGAGTCGACCAAGATTCAGATGTTGTCTGAGGGATTCCTGCCTTTAACGGACCCCGTCTGGACAGAGCTAATGACCTCCAGAAGGGCTTTCTCAAGGCACCACGCCAGGGTTTTAGCATACAGCTTATAGTCCGTATTCAAGAGAGAGATGGGCCTGTAGCTCTTGGTCTCGTCTATGGGGAATCCCAGTTTATGTATGACGGTGATTGCCACCTCTTCTGTGGAGTCCGGGAGTTTCCCTTGTATAACAGACTAATTTAAAGTGTCAAGGAGTGTGTTAGGATCATTGGGCCCAGGATTCTGTATAACTCCAATCGGATGCTGTCGGGGCCTGGGGCCTTCCCTACGGGGGAGAAACCCAGGGCCTCCAGGAGTTCGGGGAGCTCGTTCGGGGCTTCCATAGCTTCCCTCCAATCCGGGTGGATATGGAGGTAGGGGAGTCTCAAATAGGAATTTCTCTATATCGGGGCTCGATGGAAGGTGCCAAATCTGACTTGGATGTTTTGTTTTTCCAAACATCTGGCTAGTTTATCAGTTACTCCCATAATGTATGTTTTTTTATAGTTTTAATTACTTGGTCAGTTTCAATCATCGTGTTATTTGATTTGGTTTTGGCATTCAATGCCCTGCTGATAAAATACATAAATTCATATCTGGTACAAAAGATGTATTATAATAACGAAGCTATCAACAGAAGGTGTGTACTGGATTAATTGCACTTGTGGCAAATGCTATGTTGGGCAAACAGGCCGAATGACCAGCACGAGACTAAAAGAACACCAAAGAAATATTCAATACTCCCAAATACAACTGTCAGCAGTGGTGGAACAAGCGTGCCAACAATGACACTCAATTGATTTTGATAATGTTGAAGTTATGTGCAAAACTAGTTACTACTAGCCAAGACTAATGAGATAATCTATCGAAATTTAGAGAAAAATTATTTTAACCGTTCAGTTAGCTACAGACTTAGTGCTGCTTGGAAGCGAATCATCAAATAACACATTGTTTGAATGCATGCCTATACAGGTCACCATACTTCTGTAATAAAGGTCGTGGAAGCGACTTCTGGAATCCGGTCTTTATTTGTCTTTTGTTCACAACACTCCTGTCATACTCCTTCACTTGCTAACAGACAGCATGAGAGGGAGAGAGAGAGACACGCGCGGCCACGTGGCAGCCTGGACCCCGCTCCAGCGTAGCCTCACCCTCTGTTAGTTCCAGATCTGACCACGTGTTGTCCGTATCCACCCCTTTTAATACCCGGGTCACGTGGTACCTTTCCACCAATCCTGGATAACCTCCATGGAATCTTCCAGACTCCATCGTACGATCCCAGGACCGCGCCCCTGACTCGTCCCCCCATTGGCTGTGGCTAAAGCCAGCAGATCCAATCATCTACTTACAGATGTCACCTTCCCATTACATCAGGGCCACACCCCTAGACTTCCCCCCATTGGCTATGGGCCAGGACCGGTAGAGCCAATCATCGTAACGAGGTGTGATCAATCAACCACCCGAACATAGCCTCACATTACACTTCACTAGGAATGACCGTTTTTATGGATATTTTAGTACACACAATCTACAGGAAGTACAAGAACAATGGGCTTACATAATGCGCATCCATAATGTAGGTGATTACCATATATATAAACCAAACGGCAATGGATACCCATAGTCATTTATATTCATTCATTAATCCCTCCCACTTTGTGTAAGAAGAACGCACAAGTGTTGTCACATCTACCCAACTATTTAAGGAACGAAACATGATTTCTCCACAAATCTAGCTGTCGCCAGATGAAGCTAATTATAATTACTGGCGAAACGTCGTACTCAGATTGTAAATGTTGTGGCTTTGCTCCCCAACACACCGGTGTGCTTTACTAATAACGAATTGGCATGTTCTGTTTCAGTGACAAACCTTACTAATTAGCTATGTCGGATGGTGGCAGGTTTAACGACACATTATATTTACGCGATCTAACCCAAAAAACCTGTATTATGCGTAGTGAGTACTGATTCAGGGAGTTGGAGGGAGAGGGGAAAGTTGGGGAGGGGGCCAAACACTGGCCACCCAAGGGGGGAATCTCTGTGTCCTCCGGTGATAGTGTAGAGGTGTTACGGGAGGGCAAACAAACACACCAGGCGTGGTTATGCCCGTACGCGAAGAGATGCTTACATCCACGTCCGCACCGTTTAGCCTGGGGGGCTAATACGGCGCTGGGATCCCCCACGGCCCCACCCCTCGGTGGGGGAGTTGCTATATAAGGCGGTGAGCCGGAGGGCTCGGGGTTCAGTGTTTAGCCTTAACCAGCGAAGAAAGAAGACTGGCTAGATAGGCCCTGGGACTTCCCTGGATCGCCGTCCTTCTCAGGACCGACCAGGGCAAGCCAGTGGCGTGGCCCCGAGAGCCCAGAGCCGATGTTCTTCTAAGAGCCGGTCTGGGGACTCAGGGTGCCGTAATCCCAGCTTAACCAGAGCTGGGTCAGCTAGCCTCCCCTAGCCCTGTAGTGGAGGACCTAGGAGTAGGCTAGCCGGGACAGAGATTGTGGGATCTCCCTGTCAGACGGGTGAAGGGGCCGATACTCCTTGAAGTGTTGTATATCTCGGCCTGTAATATACAACTGTGGTCAATAAATAAGTGTGCCTCCGACTATGTCGTCCAAGTCTCCTTGAACCTACTACAATAGTAATAAAGTGAGGCGATCAGCCGTGACCCATGTTGTGTGCCTTGCATTGTCCATGAGTGTAGGTACAGTACACAGTGTCCTCGTGCACGGGAGGAGGGAGTTGAAAAAAAAACCCTCTCGGGGGAGGACAGGGGCAGGGTGATTTACCAACATAGAAAAAGGTACCCATACAAATGTTAACAGTATCAGGCCAACAGTAACAGCATAGGGGCCATAGAACCAAATACTGGAGAGTTTTCAATTTTACATTTGTGTATCAAGTATCCACATCTGCCATGGTTAGTGTGGATGTGATTTATGGTGGACCATGAGCTTCACGGAAGATCAAATCCAGGGATCGTCTGCGTTAGGTCTTTCACAAGGTGTACGTGAGTTCTTTTGAATTCCATTCAGCTCTCCAAGCTTCATTGGGATTAAATTACCATTGTTTAAGGTTAAGCGCATGGGTCCAAAAGGGATTGCGTGACTTCAAGCGATGACAAGAGATGTTATTGAGATCCTGATGAATGGGAAGGTGACCGTTTTCTTCGATTCGCAGGACTTCCCAGAGGATTGCACTGCTGCGGCGGATGGGTGAAGGAGAGATGTGTAACATCATGGGCAACCAGGGTGTTGGGATCGACTTAATACCCTATACATTTAATTAATATTGCCCCTCCCCGTCTCTCTGAGTTGCCCTCACAGATTAGCAATTCTGATTTAGTGGCTCCATCTCCCAGTACCTTGATATCATGCAGCACCACACGGCCGCCGCGCTTGTTCTGGTACGCGAGCAGCTTGTCGGCGTGCTCGTGCTGCTTGTCGGACAACTCCTTGAAGAACTTGCGTGCGTTCTTCAGAGCCACGTCATCGCGATCAAAGTAGGACGCCTGTTTCCATAGACATCCAGTATCACCATTACAACTAACATCATTACTGTCATCACCACAACCATTACGACTCAACAAAATCACCATCAGAATAAATGACCACTAGTTGGTTTGTGGCCGCATCTGTGGCACTAAACAGTATGACTGCCTGCTGCACCTTTTATTCTATGCTTTCATTACTTTAAATCAACAGGGAGGTTCAGCCCCACACCTTCCTCTTAAGCCTCCACCCCCCTTCCCTGGACAGAGGGATTTGGCTGGTTTGGGTGGTGGTCAGGGTATTGGAAGAGATATGAGTGTAAATGCAGCAGAGTTAGGAATGTTGGGTGGGGATGGAGTGGTTTCACAAACCACCACTAGCCCTCATAGCAGCAACATAATACAACAATTGATAAGGCTTCTTTATCCAGGAAACACTAAAGAATCTCGACAGCGTTTCAGAAGAGTCCTGCCAAGTTCTTTAGTCGGGATGAATGTGGCTGTTGTGTAATTCCAATCAAGTAATTTGGAGTGTAATTTTTCTAATTTGGCAAATTATGGACCGTGACGTGAGCATCACGGGCTCCTTACGGTCCACCAAGTCATACAGATGGCGGGTACTATTTTATGGTAAACACACCGCAGTAAGATCCAAGGTGGCACAGCAGTGAACGGGCTACTGCTGGAAATACATTCACGAAACTACCACCACCACTAGTTAAAAAAAGGATTCGATGTCACGTTGCTCAAGCATCCCAATGCTGAATAAATTACCTGCAGATTACTCAATTGGCATCACACACAGCAGAAACATCGCCCCCTACTGCGAACACCTGGCAGGATCCTCCTGAAAAAAGAATAAATCATCTGAGGCTTTCCTAGGAAAATAAGTGGAGTAATATAAAAGATAATTATTGAGCCGTGGTTGGTCACGTGATTTGGATCCATGCCCAGTTAATTCACTCGCACGCTCGTGCTGACAAACCGACTGATTCTTGCGGTAAAATCAACAGTGATCTCGCCGAGATTATCAGCAGTCAGTTTAACCCAGTACATCAGCGGCGCAACATGTCACTCGGGAAATATATTCGGTCACATCTTCACATCCACCGATATCATAATTGGGACCGAAATTATGGAAAATGTGGGTATTTAAGATCACAGTCTCGTAACGTGCAAAGTTGTATTACCTATTATTCTCCCACCCGTCACAGCGATATCAGAGAGACTGGAAACGACTGGACTATGATTCTTTTCGTCAGAAGATCTGGTGCATTGGCGTGTCTATATCCTGCATCGGCAGTCGATTCATTTGCAGCTAAAGTTTAAATTGACATCACTGCTGTTCTTGATGAACTCGTGCCGAACAAGCACAAATAGAACGGGAAGAGCGCACAGTAACTATCACCGGAGGCGATCACGGCAAAGCAGACGCAGAGTTGGCTGGAGCACCCTTGGAAGAAACCGCTTTCGAGACTGTCTGACTCACAGTGCCGCCTGCAGATCTACCAACCGACTCATTCTTGAATCTCGCAGATCATGCTATGCTCTGCGCATCAATGAGTCCGCTCACGAGCCCCGTGCTCTCTTGTGCATTGCGAATGGTCTTCTGCACTCCAATCACCCATCAACCCGTCAACCAGGTCTGTGCACAGTACTTACAACTTTCTTCGCCAAGAAGATAATAACGATGAAAATGGCAGTTTCTAACTTGAAAGCAACACATGCTCCCAGTCTGCCATCTGAGTTTGACTCGTCCACTGAAAGAAAACTGCGTAACAAAAAAATCAATCTTTTTTGTTCCTGGGTAGTGTTATTTTCTAATTGCTTATGCCTTAGAAGTACAGAAATTCGTTATTAGTCCCCACAAACGTTGTTTTTGTGACCAGGACAGTAATATTTTGAAATGTACCGATTTTCAATGAGAAAACGTGTGCATTTGTGTAATTCCTTCACGTAAAGTCCTGGTCATAAAAGCAAAGTTTGTGGGGAATAATTGCCATTTTCTATACGTTTGAGGCATAAGCAATTAAAAGATAAAACTTACTACCCAGGAACAAAAATCTTGTTACATAGTTATTCACCCACTCACCCATTATTCATCCACTCACCATGGAGAGGTAGACATAGGACGCATGCAGATTCATGTTGACCTGGCGGTTAATGATCGCCTCCACATCTTGGCTGTAGTTTTGACGAACCTGGGGTGCCATTATTTCTGCTTTCGATTGAGAGAATGGGACTCAAGAACACATTTAACAGGAATTTTCTCGGAGGATATTTTGTAACTGAGAGGAGCAAGACTTCCACAAGACGACAGGGTTCCCTCAAACACTGCTGAAGTAAGATCTGTGACCTGACTGAGGGAGCGCTGCTCAGCTCGCAGTTTATATAGCCGCACGGCAGCAGGCGGTGGATAAAGTTAACTAACCAGGGGCTTAACAATGGACGGGGCTCGCATAACAGTAGGCGGGGCTGTTCATTCCTTTGCTAAGAGTGGGTGGGAACGATTGACAAATTAGCTGCTGATGCCGCTGTTGCACAAGCACAAACAACAACAAATCCTAAACACATTCGTCAATAGCATCATAGCCTTAAAAGAAACATATATAATAGATGTTTCCGGTAAAGGCCCGTCTGCATAGTACACAGTGTGAGTCTATGGGTTTCTGTGTCTCTGCGTGTTTGCAACATCCTCACTCAGCTTAGCTCCATCCCTAATCTGTGATTTGTTGAGCGATGGGGCACTGGGGGATACAAAGGCAGGCATGGGGAGGAGGAATATCGCAACATTCTGGGTGTGTTATGTGTAAGAGGGTATGGTTATGGTTAGCACGGTGTACAGTGAGGGAAAAAAGTATTTGATCCCCTGTTGATTTTGTACGTTTGCCCACTGACAAATAAATGATCAGTCTATAATTTTAATGGTAGGTTCATTTGAACAGTGAGAGACAGAATAACAAAAAAAATCCAGAAAAACGCATGTCAAAAATGTTATAAATTGAATTGCATTTTAATGAGGGAAATAAGTATTTGACCCCCTCTCAAGCAGAAGGATTTCTGGCTCCCAGGTGTCTTTTATACAGGTAATGAGCTGAGATTAGGAGCACACTCTTAAAGGGAGTGCTCCTAATCTCAGCGTGTTACCTGTATAGAAAGACACCTGTTCACAGAAACAATTAATCAAACAGATTCCAAACTCTCCACCATGGCCAAGACCAAAGAGCTCTCCAAGGATGTCAGGGACAAGATTGTAGATCTACACAAGGCTGGAATGGGCTACAAGACCATCGCCAAGCAGCTTGGTGAGAAGGTGACAACAGTTGGTGCGATTATTCGCAAATGGAAGAAACACAAAAGAACTGTCAATCTCCCTCGGCCTGGGGCTCCATGCAAGATCTCACCTCGTGGAGTTGCAATGATCATGAGAACGGTGAAGAATCAGCCCAGAACTACACGGGAGGATCTTGTCAATGATCTCAAGGCAGCCGGGACCATAGTCACCAAGAAAACAGTTGGTAACACACTACGCCGTGAAGGACTGAAATCCTGCAGCGCCCGCAAGGTCTCCCTGCTCAAGAAAATACATATACATGCCCGTCTGAAGTTTGCCAATGAACATCTGAATGATTCAGAGGACAACTGGGTGAAAGTGGTGTGGTCAGATGAGACCAAAATATAGCTCTTTGGCATCAACGCAACTCGCCGTGTTTGGAGGAGGAGGAATGCTGCTTATGACCCCAAGAACACCATCTCCACCGTCAAACATGGAGGTGGAAACATTATGCTTTGGGGGTGTTTTGCTGCTAAGGGGACAGGAAAACTTCACTGCATCAAAGGGACGATGGACGGGGCCATGTACCGTCAAATATTGGGTGAAAATCTCCTTCCCTCAGCCAGGGCATTGAAAATGGGTCGTGGATGGGTATTCCAGAATGACAATGATCCAAAACACACGGCCAAGGCAACAAAGGAGTGCCTCAAGAAGAAGCACATTAAGGTCCTGGAGTGGCCTAGTCTCAGGACCTTAATCCCATAGAAAATCTGTGGAGGGAGCTGAAGGTTCGAGTTGCCAAATATCAGCCTCAAAACCTTAATGACTTGGAGAAGATCTGCAAAGAGGAGTGGGACAAAATCCCTCCTGAGATGTGTGCAAACCTGGTGGCCAACTACAAGAAACGTCTGACCTCTGTGATTGCCAACAAGGGTTTTGCCACCAAGTACTAAGTCATGTTTTGCAGAGGGGTCAAATACGTATTTCCCTCATTAAACTGCAAATCAATTTATAACATTTTTGACATGCGTTTTTCTGGATTTTTTTGTTGTTATTCTGTCTCTCACTGTTCATATAAACCTACCATTAAAATTATAGACTGATCGTTTGTTTGTCAGTGGGCAAACATACAAAATAAGCAGGGGATCAAATACTTTTTCCCCTCACTGTATATCCTGGTGGAAGCGCTCGCCTTGCTCCTCCGAGTATGCTCCCATGTTCTCCTTGAATTTATCAAGATGAGCATCAAGGATATGGACTTTGACAGGCATCCTACAGCCCATTGTGCCGTAGTTTTTCACCAGAGTCTCAACCAGCTCCACATAGTTTTCGACCTTGCAATTGCCCAGGAAGCCACGAACCACTGCGACAAAGCTGTTCCAAGCCGCTTTCTCCTTACTAGTGAGCTTCTTGGGGAATTCATTGCACTCCAGGATCGTCTTTTTCTGTGGTCCGACAAAGACACCGGCTTTGACCTTTGCCTCAGACAGCTTCGGGAAGAAGTCTTGAAGGTACTTGAAGGCTGCCGACTCCTTATCTATACAGCTCTGACAAATTGTTTCATTAGGCCCAATTTGATGTGCAGTGGTGGCATCAGCACCTTCCGGAGGTCCACCAGTGGCTTCCACTTTGCATTGTTCCTCCCCACAGAGAACTCGATCCGTTGTGGCCAGTTTCGCCTGTGGCGGTACGCCTTGGTGTCCCTGCTGTCCCAAAGACAAAGATATCAGGGAAACTTGATAAAACTGCCTTGGAGTCCCATCAGGAATGCCACCATTTTGAAGTCTCCGATGACCTCCCAGCCATACTCATCATACTTCAAGGTGTCCAGCAATATCGTGATGCTGTTGTAATCCTCTTTGAGGTGCACCGAGTGAGCCAGGGGAAGAGACGGGTACTTGTTACCATTATGAAGCACCATGGCTTTGAGGCTCCAGGATGAGCTGGCAATGAAGAGGCGCCACTCATTCTGGTTACAGGCAATTCCAATTACCTCGAACAGACTGGTCACATTGTGGCAGAAGCAGAGCCCATCTTGACGGGTGAAGAAGCTGCAAAAAGGTTGGTGACGCTTCCTCTGATCTGTGACTTGCACACTTTTATCCAACTCTGCAAACCCACCGGCTATCATCAGAGATTTGTTCATGAAGCCATCCAGATAAAAACACAGACACAACTTCAACCGAAAAGATGGATACAAACTGAGCAATCATTGGAAAGACGTTATTAACCAGGTAAAGTCTTAACTGACTGTGATGTTTCCATCCTACCTGCCTATGTCAGCTGTTATTTCCGACTCCTTGTGTCTCTCTCTGTGCTTCTCTCGGATCTCTCCCTCGGTGACTCAAGTGCTGCTGCGGGGTCCCACTTTCTGCCCCGCCCCCTCTCTCACTCCCCCATTCTTCCCTCCCCCCTACCGCCGATACCAATATAACCTCGTGGCACGGCAGCGCTCTCACCTACTTCATCAGTTTTTTTCTTGCTGTAGTTGTCTCACCTGATGACGATTGCTTGTGTTGCAATCGAAACGTCGTGATCTATATTTTTTTCTACCTACGTGACTTTACCTAAAGAACCAAAGAGTATGGATTCCTGCAGTCATGAAAGCTTAAAATCAAGATTTATTCAACAAGTTCCACTACTTGAGCCTAGATGTCACAAGCTCAGCATTGGACTTGGTGAGACCAAGATCTCTGATCAAGTCGTTGAGGTCTTTTGGTTGGGGTAGTATGGGTTTCTCTCCTCAGCTCCACCCCTGAAATTGTCATCTGGATCTACAACGTCTTCCTCGCTCTCTGACTTCCTGCTCTCTTCTAAAGATGGCTGCTCTCTTTTTGGGGAGTGGGTACGGGGAGCTCATGGCAGTGTGGCACCGGGGCGATGGATGGTGATAGCAGGTGCATTCTTGCCAGTCCAACGTTTGGAAGGTTCCACCATGCAGAAATAGCAGTTGCTTGAGTGGTTAGTGGGTTCCTGACAAATTCTTGGGATAGCGAACTTCATGGCTCTCTTTTCCCCTCTGTACCATCCTACAAAAATACACTTATTTCACCCATGACTAATGTGTAAGAGATTCTCGCAACATTGTTCATATATGATATATTTGTTCAATAACACTTAAAATTCTAAAGCATAAATTTTTTTTTACTTTTACAATAAAAAAAATTGTAACAAATTTTCTAACATAAATTTCCGAGCAATAATTGTCCATCTTACATTCCAGAGTTTTTTGGCATTGCTCTAAGGTGAAATAAGGTTCCCAGGGTTTGTCTTGAGTGGTTCCTACCTAAGTTCATGCATAATTATCTTAAATATAAGAACTGTATCCTGCGGCGAGATCTGAAACCTGAGCCTGGACATAAATGCACTAAAATCATAATCAGTAAATGTTAAAGCGAGAATAATTATATTTTCACGATTGGTAATACACCCCTAGACAACGAAGCCAAGCATCACATCACACACAAAGAAATCACAAATAATCACATACACATAATACACCCCTAAACAACGAAGCTAAGCATCACACACACACCCATGTAGTGAGTCCAACTGAGTTGCAGACGTTATCTTTGGAGCAACACTATTTAGTCCGCATTAACATGCACCACAACACGATCTACACTCGGGTCTCGAATGCACATCTAACCACGCTACGGCAGAACTAGACACGGTTCGCTATCCCGGTCCGGACCACAAACGGGGTCCCAGACCGTGTGGCTAGAGGCTTCTTCTCCCCGACGTGGATTTTCGTAACACCAGCACACGAAGAACCCCGAGCTCCTCACGGGGCCCTTGTTATATGCCCTCGGGCTGGGGCTGGCTCCGCCCTCAGCCCCGCCCACCTTCCAGGTCTCTCGAGCTCTTTCTCGAAGGTTCTCGAGAGCTCCTTTGGACCACGTGACCGCCCCACGGCCCCCGTCCACCAGTGGCTGGCCCCCCTC